TTGAAAAAATCTAAGTTTCAAAAATAACAATTAACGAATTCCTCGATGTAGTGCTGAAATCTCAAATATGAATTCTAAAGGCTGGTCTTGCTAGATGGTGGATAACTTGGTCGGTTCGGCGGTTCCTTTTACGGCCAAATTTTGCCTCCGTATACATAAGTTCATACTATACGTATATTCTCTGGTTGAGCTTTAGTCTTGTACATCCGAAAGTCCAACACACGCTTTGGATATTAAGGACGTGAGTCTTGGTAAAAAAGTTGTATAAAATATAAAATAGTGAGTCAAGAGTAAACTCAGAAGCTAAAACTTGTATTAAGTAATTCTGCAATTACACTGAAACTATCTGAACGACACGTCGCGATAGTGTCTAATACAAGGACTAGAATGACAATTCTCTTACTAAGCTCTGAGTATCAAAATGCTAACCCCTTACAATGTATTCAATGCAAGTATTTATACTAAGAGGGGGATAGGTGAGATGGTGATGTGGTTGAACCCGGTTGGCTGCTGCCTCTGCCGCCTTTGCACTCATGCCTCCACTTCTTACCGCCATACTTCAGCATTAAATGCGGCTGCCACTTGCTGGCTACTTGGTCGAGGAGCTCGTTCGGTGTATATGGACCCATAAGTGGACGCTTAATGTTGGCACTTTGCTTGATTACTCCAAGTGAATAAAGTATCCCGAACGCTGAACGGGTAACAACCCAATTGCTTTGGGTTCCTTGCTTCCTCTAGGCCGGGTATGTTGGGCTTCGGCCCAATATCTCAACATCTCTCATTTCAAAATTCCGTGACCAATTAAGGAGTTTAGGTAATTATTATTATTATTATTATTAGACTAGTAGACTATTCTTGATTTCTTAGTGGGCCATCCGGCCAGGCTTGGTAATTTTGAGTGTTGTGTTACGGTGTTACCCGCTAGGGGTGGACCGGTTCTGGTTCGGGCCCGGTTCGGGCCTGGGCCCGGCCGGGCCTCGGTTAAGAAAAATGAGGCCCGAGCCCGAACCGGTGGTGGGCGGTTCCGGGTCCGGTTCCGGGCCAGACCGGGCCGGGCCGGGCCACCCGGATTTTTAATTTTTTTTTCTTCTTCTCTTATTTAACCCCCTACCCCTCCCCCTCCACCCCAAACCACTCCAAACCACCTTAAATAGCCCAAAATACCTAATCCAACCCAAAACTTAAAAAAATTTCAAAAAAAAAAAATTTAAATTCTGGCCCGAACCGGGCCCGGCCGGGCCGGTTCACTAAACTGGAGGCCCGGACCGCTATACCACCGGGCCGGGTGGCCCGAACCGGGCACAAACCGGTTCACCGGGCCGGTCCGGGCCCGCACAATAGCGGGCCGGTCCGGTTCCGGGCCGGTTGGCCCGGCCCTAGTCCATCCCTATTACCCGCTGGCCGCACCGCAAGTTGGATAAATCATGAATGGGGTCATTTATCTAATAATAAATAATAATAAAATATTATAAAGCCCAATGAAGGTTAGGGCTTTTTGGGTATAAAAAAATGTTGGTGGAATCTCAAAGCAATAAATAGTGGTACACTACCTTCTACATGTTGTACTCTCTTCCTATTATAACTGGTTTCCCAGCGGCTCCGTTAAAGTTTTTAAATAACATCATTCAACCTTCATTGTTTTGCGGTTACTCCGTCACTCTTCATTTAGCTAACCTTGGCTTCACTATGCGACATCCTCTATTAAATTATCATTTATTATGGTGCATATAACTCCAATATGTAAAATCTATTTTGTCTAAATTAACATGTGAAATAATAATATGTGAAGGATTCATTTGAATGTCTTCCCGATTGAATTTTTATCTGAAATTTGGTATGAGTGAACTAGACTTAATGAATAATATGCTCAAAAATTTTCATCAAAAAACTCCACCGGGAGCCACCTCAAATAGCACGCCCGGGCAGAATCTTCTATATAAGGACTTATTTGACCCCATTTTTGCAACTTCGAGGACTAAACCGATCCTTATCCCATTTTTAATTGTATTAAACTTGAAACTTTGTGTTATATATCATATTTTTCCTAATTTTCTTGAAGTTAAGATGTTTTTATTTGAACATAAATTTTCTAGTCTAGTCTGATCTAATTTCGTGTGAGACTTAAAATAGTCCAAGTAAATGTATGTTTATTAGTTTATCAAATTTAGTCTGAAACTTGTGCTTTTTAAATGGTGTCTCTCGATTTAAAATGGCCCTACGGAGTTGTTGTACACAGACAACTCTGTATGCGTAGACAAACAAATGTGCCAAAGTTGTATACAAAAAAACGTGTACATCAAGCACATCTCAACTTTAAATATAACTAATTAGTGCTAAATTATTATTTTGTAGTGTGTACTATGACGGAAAACGGAAACAAGAGTCATAGCTTCAAATAGAAAACTCAAGTAAAGAAAAGATTAAGTAATGGAATCTTTTGCGGTTTCAATGGATATGTATGTAAAAACAAATCCTTCTCCATCGACCTCAAACAAAAATCTCACAGCAAATGATAAAGGTGAGAATGAAAAAATTGGTGTTCAACTTGTGAGAACCAAAATGAAAAAAGTACTTCGTATTACCTTTTGACATTTAGTAAAAATGGTGTTATAATTTTCTCTAATTACTTCATATTTAATTCTGTTATTAATTTTAAGTACTATTATGTTATGATCTCATTAGTCATTCTTTGTATGGGGCTTTAAAACTTCTAGAGATGACCCTGTGTAAAACATTTACTTGTATTTAGGTTTTTGACAATGTATGGTCTTATTCCTAAACTCCTATTTTGATGTAATTTCTTAATATAAAATTCCACAATCATTCCGCTTTTGCCAACATTTTGTGTCAATTCCACTTCTTAATTATTCAATTGATTAAACACATCACCATTGGCTGATTGGCATCATCCACATTAATGCACAAAAGATACTTTCCATAATCAGGATGTGAATTTTTAAGAGCCAAGTAAAAATGAAAAATATGATCATCATTAACAACAATTGAAGGCGGGCATTCTTCAACCAAATAAGTAATGTTGATCCTTTCATTCGAAGCAAACACACCAATGCATGAATAAATCAAAGCAGTAAAATGAATATAAGATGTCTCATCTAGAACTATATATAAACTCACAAGTTCTTCTATCACAGAAAGTATGAGAATCATCCCAACTACCATCAACCTTTCGCTCTATCAGTATTTTGATTTGATTAAAAACAGATGAATGCAGGGGCTGGTCTGTAAACTCCAAAACTTTAAAAAGGACTTTAGGCAGTGGAACAAAGAGGTTTTTGGTAACATATTTGATGATGTTAGGTTCTGTGAAGAGGAGGTATGGGTAGCTAAAGCTGAAGTGGAATTTCAAAATTCTCCTACTGAAGCAAACAGAGAGAGCTGGCATCATAAAAAGGCTTTGTTGCTGACTAAGGATGTTTTCTTTTGGACTGAAATTTGCTGATCTGGTCTGGTCTGGTCTGATCTGGTCTGGTCTAGTTTGTTTAAGTCTGGTCTGGTCTGGTCTCTGTGTATTTTATAACTGTCCAAGTCTGGTCTGGTCTGTTTAAGTCTGGTCTGGTCTGGTCTGTTTAACTCTGGTCTGGTCTGATCTGGTCTGGTCTGGGACTGAAAACAGTCCAAAAGAAAACATCCTAAATACAGGCTTGAGAGAAAATTTTGGAAGCAAAAAGTTAATATTAGATGGTTGAAGGAGGGGGACTTCAATAGTCATTATTTTCATTCTCTTGTTAAAATTAGAAGGAAAAATAGATGATACATATCGTACTTGACTCTCAGGGTAGGGCAGACATCGGAAGGGCTGCTGTTGAGTTCTTTTCTGATCTTTATGTTGTTGATCCTGTTGTTACTTCCAATGACATTCTCAGCCATATTCCTGCAATAAATACAGAAGAAGATAATTCCTATCTCACTGCATTGCCCACTAAAGAGGAGGTAAAAGAAGTTTTGACACTTTATGTTGCATTAAAGAGGGTTGATCACAGAAATTAATGAGGCTTAATGATGGCTATTGTAACGGATTTGTGTTTATTATGATAGTTAGTAACGATATTAAGGCAGGAGGTTACTTATTTTGAGCTAGCTAGCATTAATAACGAGTTGTGAAACCGCCGGGTCGGAACTGTCAAGTCAAACCGCCAATAACGGACAACTGGAGTTGATGAAGCGTCCAAGAATCTCATTTTAAATATTGTAACGTTTTCTGTACATTATTAGGCTATTTAATGTGATTGATGAAGATATTAATTGTAATTGACCGACCTTTATGACAGATTTGAAATTGTTATAAAGTACGGCCAACTCGTCAGTAACGTACAAAGTCATCAAAAGAACATTAATTACCCTTCTTATAAATAGGATATCCCTCATTGTAATGAGCAGCGGCTCACATTCGAATAATACACAAGTTTTCACTCTTATTCACTCTCTTGTCATCTTCTTCTTTACTCTTGTTCGAAGTTCATTCTTCATATACATTCCTTTTTAATTAGTTTTAGCTTATCAATATTTTGCTTAAACATAATAAAAGTATTTGAATTAAAAAAAAAGCAAAAATATTAAGATATCAACTAGCCCTCCAAAGTAGTTCAAACTCTTTAGTTATAAACCCCTTCCCACAAACACACCTTAGAAAATACTCAAAATAGGATATTAATGAGAAATCCTATATTCCCAAAAGGTTTGTTTTGAACATGGAAAACACTGGGGGGAGACAATAGGAGCGAAGCAAAGCACACAAGAAATTTGGAAGGAAAAATAATGTGGGAAAATAAAAGGCATGCTAAATCTTACTGTAATAAATTTATAAATTTATTTTAGATATTTGATAATTATGCACACTATGTCCAAGTTAAAATCAAGCATTAGATAACTACTTCACTTAGCATATGTGATATTTTAGTACATATTCGCAAGGTATTAACTAAGAAAAGAATCAGAACCATACTCTTCATTGACTTACAGCTCATGGCTTTTATACATGAGGTCACTATAAGAGAATACCGAATAAAATGGATCGGTAGTTTTAAAGATGGGAACAAAATCAAAGAGCCTTAAATAAATATAATCCATACATAAATAAAACACTAGTGCTCAAAATAATAATTTCCCAGAATAATGCTCAATACCCCTCCTCAAGTTGGCGCATGAGGATTCAAAATGCCCAACTTGCGTAGGAGTGTCTGGAATTGAGTCTTGCCAAGAGCTTTGGTGAAGATATCGGCAAGCTGCATTGTTGTTGGCACGTAATTCGGTGCAATGAGTTTAGCTTGAATGGCATCACGAACGAAGTGGCAATCAACTTCAATGTGTTTAGTGCGTTCGTGAAACACGGGATTATTAGCAATATGAAGTGCTGACTGACTATCACAGTAGAGAGGGATAGCTTGAGGATGTTGAACACCCAAACTGAAAAGGAGAGCCTTCAGCCATTTTAATTCACAAGTAGCAGCTGCCATGGAGCGATACTCAGCTTCGGCAGAAGAACGAGCAACTGTAGATTGTTTCTTGGCTTTCCAAGAAATGGGAGAGTGGCCCAGAAACACTAACCAACCAGATAGAGATCGGCGAGTAAGAGGACAAGCGGCCCAATCTGAATCACACCAACCAGTAAGTGTGAGATCACTATCAGCACGTAAAAGAATACCCTGTCCAGGAGAGCCTTTGAGATATCGAACCACTCGCAAAGTTGCAGACCAATGCTCATTGAGAGGATTTTGCATGAATTGTGATAGGATATGCACAGAATAGGTAATATCTGGGCGAGTGACCGCCAAGTAAATAAGGCGACCAACAAGGCGACGATATGATTCAGGGTCAGACAACGGTGTTCCAGTAGCATTGCTGAGGCCATGATTTTGCTCTATCGGAGAAGAGGCCGGTTTGGCACCCAAGAGACCAGTTTCAGTGATAATATCCAGAGCATATTTGCGTTGAGTAAGAAATATCCCGGAGGGGCTGCGAGCAACCTCAATGCCCAGAAAATATTTAAGAATCCCCAAATCCTTCATGTGAAAACATGTATTAAGATAGGATTTGAAACTGGAAATGGCAGCACTATCATTTCCAGCAATTAGAAGGTCGTCAACATAAACCAGAACATTAAGCTGAGTATGTCCACGAGTAAGTGTAAATAGGGAATAATCAGCATAAGACTGGAGAAATCCATAACTCTTGAGAGCCGTGACCAATTTAGCAAACCAACATCTTGGGGCTTGCTTAAGGCCATATAAAGATTTATGAAGACGACAAACCAAAGTAGAGTCATGAGTACGATAGCCAGGAGGAATAGTCATGTATATACCTCTTCATTTAGATCACCGTGTAAGAATGCATTATGAACATCCATCTGGTGGAGCTCCCAATTTTTACAAGCAGCAATAGCAAGAAATGCACGCACGGTTACCATTTTAGCAACTGGGGCAAATGTCTCGGTGTAATCCAGACCGGCAACCTGTCGATTGCCAAAAATAACGAGACGTGCTTTGAGACGTTCAATGCTCCCATCAGATTTATGTTTTACTTTATAGACCCATCGACACCCTAGTGCTCGTTTTCCCGAAGGTAATGGAACTAGACTCCAAGTGGAATTTTTTTCAAGAGCTTGAATTTCAGCCCTCATGGCATGACACCATCCCTCATCTTTAACAGCCTCTTGGAAGGACCGGGGCTCCGTAATAGAATGGAGAGCTGCCAAGTAAGCCCGATGTTTCGGAGAAAAAACATCACAAGTAATATAATGTGTAATAGGAAACGACGTACCTGAAGAAGGTGACGGAACCGAATGAACGGGAACTGGACTGTTTTTAACAATGGTGTGCGTAACATAGTCCCGAAGACGTACAGAAGGAGTCCGGTGCCTTTGTCCTCGACCCAAGATGAGTGGTTGTTCGGTTTGATTCTCCCAGGCAGTGGTGTCCTCAGGAGAAAAATTATCATTAGTGGGGTTGATAGAAGAGTGGTCCAAAGTACCAGTAGACTCTTGTGAAGGTGGGTCCACCAAAGCATTATCATTATGTGGGATAGAGGTTTCGGCTGATGAATATCCACTGTAATCATAGAGCAGTAGGTCTTGGGATGGAGGAGTGTCATCCGTAGGTGCAGGAGCCGCGACATAAGGAAAAATGGTTTCAAAAAATTTTACATCACGAGACACAAAATATTCCTTAGTCTCGAGATAAAAAACAGTTCATCCTTTCTTCCCAAAAGTATAGCCCACAAATACACATTTTCGGCTTCTGCTAAAAAATTTATCGCCTTTGGACTTCATATTATAGGCGTAACACAAGCATCCAAAAACCCGCATAGAAGTATAACTTGGCGGCACTCCAAATAAAATTTCATAAGGGGTCTTGTAATTATGAATCGCAGAGGGAGTGCGATTGATGAGGTAAGAAGCAGTCAAAACACATTCACCCCAAAAAGAAATAGGTAAATGCCCCTGAAATCGCAAGGCACGAGCAACATTCAAAATGTGCCGATGTTTGCGTTCAACACGTCCATTTTGTTGTGGAGTGCCAACACAAGAAGTCTGAAAGATAATACCACTAATGCGAAAAAAATCTTTTAAACAATTAAATTCGGTCCCGTTGTCACTTCGCACATGTTGGGATATATTATCCCGGCATATTACTGTTCAGGAGCCCAAGACATTACTCTCTACGGAGCCCGAGCAGCTAGGCCCATTTCGGCCCATCCGGCCCACTTTAGCCATTTCGGCCCGCTTTGGCCCACGCGGCCCGTTAGGGTGGAGAGCATCCCCTCCCCCTATTCTCTATAAATATGGGAGCTTCCCTCCATATTATGGATGGCTTCCTTCATCCCTTTTTAGCTCTCCTTCCTCCTTTCTTTTAGACTTAGCTCAAATACCCATGAATGGGAGCTTGTACAATGTAATGGTGAGGAGAGTCCTAATGAGAATTGAGAGGGCTTGGACATTAGCCTAAAAAGTCCCGTGGTTTTCTCCCTTTCGGGTTTCCACGTAAAAACTGAGTTGTTCATACACATTTATACATATATTTACTATATCGTGTTGGATTAAACTCAACACTGGCGCCGTCTGTGGGAAACTGTCCAAAAAGATTCGTGTGTTCTACTGTTCTTGAGTTTCTACAAAAAAAAATTCATACGAAATATACTGATTCCGGAAAAAAAAATGATTCTGGAGCAAACATGAAGAAAAACGAAGGAAATATGCTTCTGGGAAGTAAGGGAGCTACGAAATCTGGAGGATGACATTTGGATTTTTCCAGATCCGGATTGGGGGTCGCCGGAGCCGTCGCCACCTTTCCCACCGCGGTGGACCCTCCGGCGAGTTCATCCACACCAGACAAAGACCTGCTGCAGCATCCCTGGACCTGGTCTCGTCATCTCGGTCCCAGGAGAGCTCCGCCGTAGCAGCACTGTTCATCGGACGTAGCTGGGTCCTCCGACGGGAACGCAGCACCGTCTTGCACCGCCAGCTGCATGCCGCTGCTCAGCCCCCAACCTCTGGTAATGCGACGGGGTTTTTTAAGCTGAGGCTTCCCCGGGCTCTGCCATGGATGGCTGCTTGGAGCTCAGGAAGGGTATGCTTCGGAGTTCGGCCGATCTCCACCGTGGGCTAGCTTTTCCAGCCTCCCTCGCCCTGCTGTAGCTTTCGTCGCCACCAGCCAGCAACTGACCTGCACTGATTGACCTTGGTGGGATGTTTCGTCTGCCTTTCCACCAGATGCTCTTTACTTGACTGGGAGCAGACCACGTCTCCAAGATTAGAGCCAAAGAAGATGGGGCCAAAACTTCTAGGAGAATTTTGACAAAGTCAAAATTGAGGAATTCCAGCAGCCTATGCCGAAGTCTTGCCCCTTGGTCAAAGATGTGGGGGCCAGCTGGTCCCTTAAGTTGACTAAGTCCAATTTAAAAGGGGAGCAGATCTGACTTCACGAGCTGCCTGGCCGAGCGTCCCTTTCCAAAAGCTGAGTACTCTTTGCTTATGCTTTTAGTTGAAATGCTATGATTTTTAGTTAAAATGCTTCGTATCTATACTAGTATTGTTATTGGTTAAATTATTTTATCACCATTATTTATTAGGGATTAGAATCTCCCAAAATTAAATAATGTCGAGCAAAGCTCAGATGAGTAAAGCTCTAGTGATAATTAATTCCATCGTCATTAAAATTGATGACTGGTTGTTGTGAGCCTGTGGGCCCGCTCCTGATCGGCTTTAATTAGCGAACGGAGTATACCTGAATGGCCTTTGATAGGATAATATCATTATTACTACCCATACATCACTATTATTTATTAGGGATAAAAATGTCCCGAGATTAAATAATGCAGAGCGAAGTTCTAGTGATAATTAGTTCAGCCAACTTTTTTATTAAATATTTAATTGTTGGGGGGTTCGATTAGCCCACTCTCGATCGGCTTTGGTTAGCGATCTGAGCGTCTCCAGAGGGTAGTGTCCGATGACGCGTTTTAATTTGGGGGTTACGCAATAGTCCGCACGACACCAAGTGCTCGAGCGACAATAGTACCCTAGTACCACCTGCGCCATTAGGCGAAGTGACTGTGCCAAACGCGACCTGTGGGGCCCGAGGGCACCGAAGCGCTCATCCTCGTTGTTTCGAGGGCAGTGCGACCAACTTGGGTCTGAGTTTTCAAACTCACAGACCAGTGATTATCTCTATGTGACGTTCGGCGGGCTGCTAATTGGCCCCGCCGCGAGCTGCTACGTCCATTAACTCCGCACGATGAGCCGGGCCGAGGGTCACGATGACCCATAGGCCGGTAATCGTGGAGGTTAAAGACTCCGCCATGCAGACGGTTATGTGTGCATATTTATTGTCGGGCCGTGCGGCCCGTTACCATGCTTATTGCGCAGATGAAGCCACTCGACGCGCTCGAGCGAAATGATTAAAAGACGATTGGCCTAAGTCTCAAAGACGTTCAGGGCCAGCTAAAGAGGAGACCACCACGGTTGAGAACCGTTGGACGAGCATCTCCACCCCAGAGACCGATGGCCTAGGAAGAACACCTAGAGGCCGAGGGTCTAGAGTGGACTACCACGGCGAAGGACCGTGAGACGATCATCCATCATTCAGAGGCCGAGGGCCTAGAGGAGACCATCACGGCCGAGGGCCGTGAGACCATCCTGATTTTCAGGTCGGCCTCTCATTGTCGACATCATCATATCACGACCGGCCTCTCGACATGGCGTGATTATCATATTTGAAGACCGGCCTCGTCCCCGCACTGCGCGGACGAGGGCCGTTGCTTGATTTCAGATCGGCCTCTCATTGCTGACATCATTACATCATGACCGGCCTCTCGGCATGGCATGATTATTTTATTTGAAGACCGGGCTCATCCCCGCGCTGCGCGGACGAAGACCGTTGCTGGATTTCTTTCAGGTCGGCTTCTCATCGCCGATATCATTATATCACGACCGGCCTCTCGAACCGGCGTGATTATCATATTCGAAGACCGGCCTCGTCCCCGCCACCTCGCGGACGAGGACCGTTGCTTGACCATATCTTGATCGACATCTCATTGCCGACATTATCATACCACGACCGGCCCCTCGGCTCGGCGTGTTCATCTTTTGAAGACCGGCCTTGTCCCCACACCTCGCGGACGAGGGCCGCTGCTTGTTTCTTTCAGGTCGGCCTCTCAGTGCCGACACCATTATATCACGACCGGCCTCCCGGCTCGGCGTGCTTTCCATATTTGAAGACCGGCCTCATCCCCGCTCCTCGCGGATGAGGGTCGTTGCTTGATTCTTTCAGGTCGGCCCCTCATTGCCGACACTATCACATCATGTTCAGCCTCTCGGCACGACATACTTAACTTTTGAAGACCGGTTCCATCCCCGCGATGCGTTGGATGAGAGCCGTTGCACGGATATATCGGCCTGACCGGGCACTATTGCCATCTCCTCATCAGGACCGACTGCTCAGCGACATTATGATCATTGTTTGTCGGCTCCCAATGCCGACCCTCTTGAGTTTGCGATCGGGCTCACGACTTCCCTCCAGGAGGGTGACCATCGCCTTCGCATGACGACCAGCTATTCTATCGCCTCGTCATTATATTCGTTCGCTATGCCACCACCATTATGTGTGACATCCCGTGATCCCTGCGAGTTTCTTGGATACCGAATGTCTTCTTCGATGTAGGAAGATCGGTAGGACCACGGACCAGGTACGGACAAAGAAGAGCTAGGGAATCTCGATGTAGATAAACCTATTCCATCTTGCGAGTTTCGCGGATACCGAACGTCTCTTCGAAGCAAGAGCGCCGGTAGGACCAAGAACCAATGACGAACGAAGAGTATAGATTGCCTCCCTCAAAAAAAAAAAAGAAAGATGGGGAGAAGAGGAGAGTAGCTCCTATGCGGAAGGGAATCTTGCCCGGGCGTGCCAGATCTTCTCCCACCGCCGAAGACGAACGCCTCTCGATGTAGAGGTTAGTAGAGACGCGGAGGGGGCTAGACGAACCAAGGGAGCTTTGCCAAGATAAACCTGTTTATCCCACAACGACCATGGATCGATGGACGTGGGATAACAAAGCCGGGAACCCGTGAGGGTAAACCAGTTCGTCCCTGCGAGTTCCTTGGGTACCGAACGTCTTCTTCGAAGCAAGAGACGCCGGTAAGACTAAAAGGACCACGGACGAACGAAAAACGGGGGAATCTCGATGTAGATAAACCTGTTCCTCCTTGCGATGTCTGCGGATACCGAACGTCTCCTCGAAGTAGGGACGCCGGCAGGACCAAGGACCAAGGACGAACGAAGACTAAAAGACTCCAAAAAAAAAAAAAAAAAAGAGATGCCAGAAGAGCACGGAGCAAAGAATGATTTTATCCCTCGGCGCTATTGACCGGGAAGTACAAACTGAAAAACATATGTAAAGAATAGTTACAAAACTTAAGTACGAAGAATGATGTGGCCGACGACGATCGGCTAACATCAGGCTTTCTTTTGCATTGGACGACGAATACCAGCTCCCCAGATCAGACAGAGGGACGACGCCCAGGTCCACCCTTCCTCCCAGGATGAAGTCCTGGAAGACGATCGGCTTCTCAGCGCCATCATGTCTCGTTCACGTTCGGATCGCGCATCTCTTCCAGGATGGCGACGAACGTCTTATGCGGTACGATCGGCCCCTCAGCGCCATCGTACCTGGATTCACGGTTCGGCTCGCCCATTCCCTCCAGGATGGTGACGACCGTCTTATGCAGCACGATCGGCTTCTCAGCGCCATCGTGTCTCGTTCACGTTCGGATCGCCCCATTCCCTTCCAGGATGGCGACGAACGCCTTATGCAGTGCGATCGGCCCCTCAGCGCCATCGTACTTGGCTTCATGGTTCGGCTCGCCCATTCCCCCCAGGATGGCGACGACCGTCTTATGCAGCACGATCGGCTTCTCAGCGCCATCGTGTCTCTTTCACGTTCGGATCGCGCATCTCTTCCAGGATGGCGACGAACGTCTTATGCGGTACGATCGGCCCCTCAGCGCCATCGTACCTGGATTCACGGTTCGGCTCGCCCATTCCCTCCAGGATGGCAATGACCGTCTTATGCAGCACGATCGGCTTCTCAGCGCCATCGTGTCTCTTTCACGTTCGGATCGCGCATCTCTTCCAGGATGGCGACGAACGTCTTATGCGGTACGATCGGCCCCTCAGCGCCATCGTACCTGGATTCACGGTTCGGCTCGCCCCATTCCCTCCAGGATGGCGACGACCGTCTGATGCAGCACGATCGGCTTCTCAGTGCCATCGTGTCTCGTTCACGTTCGGATCGCCCCATCCCCTTCCAGGATGGCAACGAACGGCTTATGCAGTGCGATCGGCCCCTCAGCGCCATCGTACTTGGCTTCATGGTTCGGCTCGCCCATTCCCTCCAGGATGGCGACGACCGTCTTATGCAGCACGATCGGCTTCTCAGCGCCATCGTGTCTCTTTCATGTTCGGATCGCGCATCTCTTCCAGGATGGCGACGAACGTCTTATGCGGTACGATCGGCCCCTCAGCGCCATCGTACCTGGATTCACGGTTCGGCTCGCCCATTCCCTCAAGGATGGTGACGACCGTCTTATGCAGCACGATCGGCTTCTCAGCGCCATCGTGTCTCGTTCACGTTCGGATCGCCCCATTCCCTTCCAGGATGGCGACGAACGCCTTATGCAGTGCGATCGGCCCCTCAGCGCCATCGTACTTGGCTTCATGGTTCGGCTCGCCCATTCCCCCCAGGATGGCGACGACCGTCTTATGCAGCACGATCGGCTTCTCAGCGCCATCGTGTCTCTTTCACGTTCGGATCGCGCATCTCTTCCAGGATGGCGACGAACGTCTTATGCGGTACGATCGGCCCCTCAGCGCCATCGTACCTGGATTCACGGTTCGGCTCGCCCATTCCCTCCAGGATGGCAACGACCGTCTTATGCAGCACGATCGGCTTCTCAGCGCCATCGTGTCTCTTTCACGTTCGGATCGCGCATCTCTTCCAGGATGGCGACGAACGTCTTATGCGGTACGATCGGCCCCTCAGCGCCATCGTACCTGGATTCACGGTTCGGCTCGCCCATTCCCTCCAGGATGGCAACGACCGTCTTATGCAGCACGATCGGCTTCTCAGCGCCATCGTGTCTCTTTCACGTTCGGATCGCGCATCTCTTCCAGGATGGCGACGAACGTCTTATGCGGTACGATCGGCCCCTCAGCGCCATCGTACCTGGATTCACGGTTCGGCTCGCCCCATTCCCTCCAGGATGGCGACGACCGTCTGATGCAGCACGATCGGCTTCTCAGTGCCATCGTGTCTCGTTCACGTTCGGATCGCCCCATCCCCTTCCAGGATGGCAACGAACGGCTTATGCAGTGCGATCGGCCCCTCAGCGCCATCGTACTTGGCTTCATGGTTCGGCTCGCCCATTCCCTCCAGGATGGCGACGACCGTCTTATGCAGCACGATCGGCTTCTCAGCGCCATCGTGTCTCTTTCACGTTCGGATCGCGCATCTCTTCCAGGATGGCGACGAACGTCTTATGCGGTACGATCGGCCCCTCAGCGCCATCGTACCTGGATTCACGGTTCGGCTCGCCCATTCCCTCCAGGATGGCGACGACCGTCTTATGCAGCACGATCGGCTTCTCAGCGCCATCGTGTCTCGTTCACGTTCGGATCGCCCCATTCCCTTCCAGGATGGCGACGAACGCCTTATGCAGTGCGATCGGCCCCTCAACGCCATCGTACTTGGCTTCATGGTTCGGCTCGCCCATTCCCTCCAGGATGGCGACGACCGTCTTATGCAGCACGATCGGCTTCTCAGCGCCATCGTGTCTCTTTCACGTTCGGATCGCGCATCTCTTCCAGGATGGCGACGAACGTCTTATGCGGTACGATCGGCCCCTCAGCGCCATCGTACCTGGATTCACGGTTCGGCTCGCCCATTCCCTCCAGGATGGCGACGACCGTCTTATGCAGCACGATCGGCTTCTCAGCGCCATCGTGTCTCTTTCACGTTCGGATCGCGCATCTCTTCCAGGATGGCGACGAACGTCTTATGCGGTACGATCGGCCCCTCAGCGCCATCGTACCTGGATTCACGGTTCGGCTCGCCCATTCCCTCCAGGATGGCGACGACCGTCTTATGCAGCACGATCGGCTTCTCAGCGCCATCGTGTCTCTTTCACGTTCGGGTCGCCCCATTCCCTTCCAGGATGGCGACGATCGTCTTATGCAGTGCGATCGGCCCCTCAGCGCCATTGTACCTGGCTTCACGGTTCGGCTCGCCCATTCCCTCCAGGAGGGCGACGACCGTCTTATGCAGCACGATCGGCTTCTCAGCGCCATCGTGTCTGGCTCACGTTAGGGTCGCCCATCCCTTTCAGGATGGCGACGAACGTCTCTTATGCAGCACGATCAGCGCCCCAGCGCCATCGTGTCTGGCTCACGTTAGGGTCGCCCATCCCTTTCAGGATGGCGACGAACGTCTCTTATGCAGCACGATCAGCGCCCCAGCGCCATCGTGTCTGGTTCACGTTAGGGTCGCCCATCCCTTCCAGGATGGCGACGAACGTCTCTTATGCAGCACGATCAGCGCCCCAGCGCCATCGTGTCTGGCTCACGTTAGGGTCGCCCATCCCTTCCAGGATGGCGACGAACGTCTCTTATGCAGCACGATCAGCGCCCCAGCGCCATCGTGTCTGGCTCACGTTAGGGTCGCCCATCCCTTTCAGGATGGCGACGAACGTCTCTTATGCAGCACGTCTGCCCCTCGGCGCTGACATGCCTGGTTTATCGATGAGAGCCACCGCTTTCTATCACATCTCACATTCCTTCTCTCATACATTGCACCCATACATTACATGCATTCATACATCATACCTCATACATTCATACATACACACGTGCATCATGTTTTGACAGTACCGCGACGTCGGTTTATAGATGCATGGACCTCTAAGCTTCTCCGTTGGAAAGCTCGAGTCAGGGTCCTTTACTCCCGCCTGATGCATTCAGGGGGAGTGTGCCCGTGGAGGAGCACCCTTCGCCCGACCCCATCGGGAAGGGGGGTGCCTCACCGGCAGATTACGTTCAGGAGTGTGGACATCCACTCATATATTATGATTATTCGAAGACACAGGTTCCAGCTAGACCGAGGTAAAGCGCAGGCAAGAGTATATTTTCTCGAACAGATTCGCACGCTCACTACTCAAGAAACTGGGGGACTTGTGTTGGGATATATTATCCCGGCCTATTACTGTTCAGGAGCCCAAGACATTACTCTCTACGGAGCCCGAGCAGCTAGGCCCATTTCGGCCCATCCGGCCCACTTTAGCCATTTCGGCCCGCTTTGGCCCACGCGGCCCGTTAGGGTGGAGAGCATCCCCTCCCCCTATTCTCTATAAATATGGGAGCTTCCCTCCATATTATGGATGGCTTCCTTCATCCCTTTTTAGCTCTCCTTCCTCCTTTCTTTTAGACTTAGCTCAAATACCCCATGAATGGGAGCTTGTACAATGTAATGGTGAGGAGAGTCCTAATGAGAATTGAGAGGGCTTGAACATTAGCCTAAAAAGTCCCGTGGTTTTCTCCCTTTCGGGTTTCCACGTAAAAACTGAGTTGTTCATACACATTTATACATATATTTACTATATCGTGTTGGATTAAACTCAACAGCACAGTAATAATCCTTTTAGAAAATTGACGGTCCACCATAGCAACAAATGAGAGAAACATTTTAAAAACTTCCTTTTTATCAAGAAGTAAATATACCCACACAGCACGAGAATAGTCATCCACAATGGTTAAAAAATGTCGGGCACCACAGGAAGAAGGAGTGTTATAAGGACCCCATAAATCACAATGAACCAATTCAAATGGTTCATGAGTTTTATTCAAACTAGTGGGAAAAGAGTCTCTAGTTTGCTTAGCTCTAAAACAAACATCACAAGGAAGACCTCTGGTATGCTTCAAACCACTTACAGGAGCCAATTTTTCAATAACTTGAGATGACGGATGTCCCAACCTTTGATGCCATAATTCAACCATTGAACTGTTGGAGTCTTTGATTGCTAAAATATGAGCTGTGGGTTCCTCTCGCAGATAATACAGTCCATTCCTCCGTTCACCCGTTCCAATCAACCTCTTCGAGAGACGATCCTGTATAACACATAAATTACATGTGAATTGAATAAAACATTTTAATTGATCACTCAATTGAGATACCGAGATTAGATTACAATGCAACTACGGAACAAAGAGCACATTATTCAAATACAAATCATCGGTCAATATTACACGTCCCTCTTGTGTAGCCAAAACATTTTGTCCATCCGGTAAACCCACAGAACACGGTTCAATAGATTTAATATGGCATAATAAGGACAAATTTCCACACACATGATTGGTAGCGCCTGTATCTATAATCCATGCTTTAGTATTAAACTTACCGGCCATGTGATCATTAGGGGAGGGTGAATTACCGAAAATGGAAAGCAAAGTTTGCCATTGCTCTGGAGTGAAACCCGGCAGTGGAGTTGATATGCCGTTGCCGTCCTCACGGTTACTGGTTATTTTGTTCACGTTCTCAGCAGTAGGAGCAGCATGAGGTCCTAGAAAGTATGGCAAAGTTTGGTCAATTTTTGCCGGAGGATCCCCTGCAGTAGACTCTTTGCTATGTGTCATCATTCATGCGAATTAAATTCGTAAACCTGGCTCTGATACCATGATATTTTAGTACATATTCGCAAGGTATTAACTAAGAAAAGAATCAGAACCATACTCTTCATTGACTTACAGCTCATGGCTTTTATACATAAGGTCACTATAAGGGAATACCGAATAAAATGGATCGGTAGTTCTAAAGATGGGAACAAAATCAAAAAGCCTTAAATAAATATAATCCATACATAAATAAAACACTAGTGCTCAAAATAATAATTTCCCAGAATAATGCTCAATAATATGTGTTCCTTTAGCTAGCAGTTTACAATGTCCAAACACACCAGAATGGTGGCAGGAATAAAAACACTTCCATCTACCATGAGTTTCATTCCTAGCATGGTTTGATCTAAATCTTACGGAGTAGTATATTATTATCATCGATCATATCATTCCAGATGAGTCTTAACTCTTAATGAAGGTGGTCCTTACCTGGTGCTGTACCAGAGATAATCACTGGTATCCCTGGTGACATTTAATTGCTCCAACAGACCACTAACAGTAAGCTTTGAATCACTATCTTCATTAAATATGTCTTCAGTAAATGTTGCCCAGGAGAGCGTTGGAATGTTTGTGGGCAACATCTGCACCTCAGATTTCTTCACTTCCACCTATGTTGGACCAAGAAGTATATAAACAAGAAGAAAGAAAATGTGTTTTTTAAAACAAAATCTTAAAAAGTTATAGAAAAACACATGAGGATTCACTTATGCTATAAGTGTTTCTTACAGATATTTTCCCTTCTTGTAAAAAGAACTTATTCTTTTACTAACATTCCAAACGCACACTAAGACTTGTGGAAATATATATTGTTTCTTAACTAACCGTGGCAGTGTTAAATACAGCATTCTTGCAATCTGGAAGAATCGAGGTTGACCAAGGTGGAAGTGCATATTGCTTCTTATTGAATGTCACAGTGGCTGATGAATTCAGATGAAAATTTGAGAGAAAAGCAGCACACTCTCCAGACGTGGAAAATACATGTGCCTGTAAATGGGAGACATTGAAAGGCTTGTTTTTGTCTAGATGATAAAATGGGAACTTTGGAGTGTCCAAGAATATATTAATACCTCTCATTCTTATAAGGCAGGACGCTTTGTATAAGACTGTTTTGTCTATGAAGTATTTGTTCTGCTTTTTTCAATTTTGCCCCAAATAAATATAGCAGTCGGGTCAATTGATTACAGAAATTATTTCCTAACGAGATAATAAATGATGATAAATTGACATCTATATCTATCTATCTATAGATAATACATTTGAAAATTACAATTAGGGAAAGTATTGCCACATGTCAATTCCACAATTATTGTTTTAAAATCATTTTTTAAATTAAAGGAAAGTTATGCACGAGTATGATACGGTATGTCATATGAGAATTGTAGTAAAGTTATGTACAACTCCTATTATTTAGGACTCCATAAATAAAAACCTCATGTTTTTTTAAACTATTATAACTTTTTCATTTGTACTCTAACTGTAATAAAAATTATATTAAAATTTATAACTTTTTATTATCTTTCAAATGACACCAATATTGAGTATACAAAAATAAAAAATAATTTAACACTTCAAAAACATCTATTTTCTAAAAAATTATATAACTTTTTTCAAATTAAAGGAAAGCTATACGAGTATGATACGGTATTATCTATAAATAATACACCTCATGTTACATTTTTTAGGTAGATTACACCTCATGTTACGTTTTTTTTAGACAACGTCCTAAAGTTGGGTAATTTAAAAAATTAAATCTCAGTTTTATTTTAAAGTGTTATAACTTTTTCATTTGTACTATGATGGTTACAAAAATATATATCGTATTTTATAATTTTTTATTATCTTTCATATGAGACCAATATTAAATATATAAAAATAAAATAATAATTTAACAGTTTTTATATATCTATTTTGCAAAATAATTTAACACTTTAAGAAATATATCTATTTTTTAAAAATAAAAATAATTTAGCACTTTGAAAATTATTTTGTATTTTTATATATTCAATATTGGTGTCATATGAAAGATTGTAAAAGTTATGAAATTGATATATTTAACCACTGTAGTACAAGTAAAAAAGTTATAGGACACATATATAATATATATCTAAATCTATATCTATATCTATATCTATATATCATACATTTCAAAGATACAATTATAAAAAGTTTTATCATGTGCCATGCTTTAAGCAACTCCCTCATCATATCATATATGTTCTAAAATTTAGATATAATAATTTAAAGCCCCTAAAAACTAGATAAGATTATTACTTCGCACGATATTCCTACAAAGGCTCTCTTTTTTACTGTAAAAGGGCATTACAATTTAGAACTCCTTATTCGTAGATTATTACAATTAGAATTCCTAATTCTCAAAAACTTATTCGTAGATTACAATTCGGATTCCGAAAAATTAAGAATCCATGTTTGATTACAATTAAACAAAATTAGAATTTCTTAAAAGTCACAACTAATGTAAAGCTTTCTAAAATGTCAACAACTACTTATTATTTATAAATAAAGAAAAATTTATTAATTAAATAAAGAAAAAAGTATGAAAATAGCTAAAATGATCCTTGACAATAACTTCAACTAATAGAAAAATTTGACTAAAAAGTTTGATAAGTCAAAAATTAGAATCATCAAACGGGCTCAATTGCAATTAGGAAAGCTTCACTAAAACTTTCCAATTGCACTCAAAGTGCACTTTCTATAAAACCATGTTCTTATATAAGTGCAATGGTAAAAAATTTTCACATTTGAACAGCGTAATAAAGTAAGAATAGTATAATGGTAAAATGGCGACAGCCGGACAGAGCCCTCTATATAAGGGCTGATTTGCACTTTTCAAGTTAGTTCGAGAGTCTATTTGATTCTTTAGCCTTAAAAGTAAAACACCTACAACATCGCAGTTATCATCAAGGAGCTCCATCATATTATATAATCATCACAGTTATTTCGTAAAACACAGTCATATTAACATATTTAATTATTGTGTAAATAATCGTGCCGTAAGTAATTGGGACATAAGTAGTATGTAATTAATAAAACTTTTCGAGAGCTGAAATTCTCGGCCAAAATATATCAAAATTATATTAATATATACACAAATAAAAAATAACTTTTACTTTCATAAATGAGATAAAAATCGATTCCAATTATAAATATCCTTAATTAGAAAGGTGAACATAATATTGAGATATCATTCAGGATAATGTGTATTTACCCATTTTTAACACATGCAGTCTTGCTGTTTTAATTCTTTCACTTTTAGAAATGTGTATTTTAATATTGTAAAAAAAATCTTTCACTTTCATTTAATGATGTTTCACCTTTTTTCCCATTTTAGGAATTTATCCTTTGAAAAGTGAGAGATAATATTTTGAGCATTCTTTGTAATGCATATATGGTGTGATATTATGATTAATAAAAAGCTACTATAAATTAACTTAAGTTACACGTATTCAAATATAAACCACGTACTGTTTTGAAAAACTTATTTTTAATGACGATAAAAAAATCTTACTTAAAATTTTTTTTTTCAATTTAAAAATGTATGAATATCAATAATTTTATTTTGAAAGTATTTTCTTTAGATATTTGGTAAAAAAGATGCATATATATATATATATAGATCAAAATATGTCATTATATTCTATATTTCTAATTAAGATAATTGAGTACATATGTATAATGTCTATATAATTGATATGTTACTCACATGCTAACTTGCTTTTTTTTGTTATAGACTTATACGGAGTATATAGTACGATCCATACGATAATTTATGAAAATTTGAGTTTCAAGTATAGTGATATTATTAAAGTTTTATGGGTGCAATTTAAATATCAAAAAATCAATACCACAGGTTATGCAATTGTATTTTAGCTCAATAATCTTATTAAGAAACATTAACTGCACTCATTGCAACATTAACTTATAGAGTTAAATGAACTCATTGCATAAATTCATATTCATATTCATGACTTAAAAAATAGTTTTTAAAAGTATTCATGAGAAACTTTTTTATGTCACCAAAAAAAAATGAGATGATGACACATGGTGGTACTAACATTGAAATTGGTTGGATCGGTTCATTCTGCTTAAATTTATGATGTTCTAGCTGAAGTGGCTGAATTGGCTGATTCTACTGATTTATGACAAAAAAATAATTTTATTATTATTTATAAATAAAGAAAAAATACTTCATATGAAAATAGTTGAAACGATCCTTTACAATAACTTCAACTAATACAACCAGAAAAGTAATTTTAACCTTACTTTGATGAAAAAGTTAACTAATAAGTTTGATAAGTCAAAAAACAGAATCATCAAACGAGCTCAATTGCAATTGGGAAGGCTTCTCCGATCCAAAACTTTCCAATTGCACTCAAAGTGCACTTTCTAAAAAAAACATGTTCTTAAAAATGTGCAACAATCAATTTTTCACATTTGAAGTGCATAATAAAGTAAGAGTAGTATAAGGTTAACTTTATAGATAGTATTAAAAATGTATAAAAAATGTACCAAACTTTGAGGGATTGCTAAGTATAGTATTTGGGGACTAAGGTAGTACATAATTTTAACTCTAAGTGCACATTCTCAAACTTTTTGAGTGTCAAGAAACTTAAAAGAATTCTCGAAACAATTATATAAATTAGAATCTATGAACCACCAAACATCATTTTTAGAGATACAACAACAACATTTAAGTCTTAGTCCCAAAAGATATTGGGGTTGGCTAACATAAATCAATACATGATATCACCACCAAAAGGAAAAGAAAGAACATAAAGATAAAAAGATAAGCTATTACAAAAAGATAATATAAAAAGAGATGAATATACCTAAAAGTGATAAAATAAAAAGGATAAAAATAATGTTTATATATATAAGGATAAAAGAATAAAAACAAGAAGAAGAAAAAGATGAGGGGAAATAATAATACGAGATCACTACTCCACGCGAATACCCGCCTTCCACTTTGCTCTCTCTAAAGATATACCCTCATCCAACCCAAGAAGTAGCATATCACTTCGGACTCCCCTAACCCACGCCCATTTGGGTCTTCCTCTCCATCTCTTCCCTGCCTCTTCTCCACTCATCTCAACACGCCTGACAGATGCATCACTCGGTCTTCTATGCACATGCCCAAACATCATTTTTGGAGATATAAAAATTAAATGAAAATATTCTTTGTTAAAAATACTTTTATAAAAGTACAAAATTTATATCTTCTAGAATATTATTCTAATTAAAATTATGTTCCAAAATTTAAGATATGACTATGTATTTTGAGACAGATGTAGTTCCTAATTTTAACTCAAAAATCATGTCCTAAAAAAAATACGTCATTCGTTCTTAAATAAGTGCAATGGCCAATTTCTCACATTTGACGTGCGCAATAAATTAATGGTAGTTTAAGAGTAACTTGATATTAAAAGCTTACCAAATATAGATTTGTGAAGTTTATTTTGGACTTGCCCAAAAGGAAAGTGTACGTGAAGTTTATTTGGGACCAGAGGTCGTATTATTTTTTTTAAAAAAAATTATTACTACGTAATACATTAATAAATAAAGCGTTATCAAAGTAAAAATATGTTAATAGTGTAAAATTCAACATTTTCCACTTATTTAAAAATGGAGAAAGTATACAAAACTTCTAAAAAACAAAATTGATGTAAACTCAAAGGTGTACCTCCCAAACTATGTCATATCAATTAGTGAAATCAAATTCAGATCAAAACAATGATGTGGATATATCCATCTCAAAGGCTATGCTCCAATTCATAGTATTATATATGCAAAACACAAGTTCTCAACTCTATTTATTAGAAATTGTATATTCATATCCACTAAAAATATGATTACAATATGAACATAAATAAATGCATTCGATGTTCAAAATTATTTTGATATATAGATTATACTCTACATATTGTAAGCATATGAACTATAGGTCTAAGCAGAAATTGTAGTTTTGAGAGACTCTTTGTTCGTTTGTTACAATTGTACGACCAATATGTGGTATGAATAGCGAGTTAACAAAGTTTCAAAATCAAATAATTGAATTCCCACTACCAATATAAAAAACGTTTCGAGATCAAATGCCTCAAGAGTAACTCTTCATATCTTCATACCAATGAGTGGTATGAAGAGCGAGTGAACAAAGTTTCAAGATCAAACAATTCAATATTGAATTCTCATTGTGTTGCATGAAAGGTAAAGTTCAACTTCCGTTTTTACAAAGGCCTCATGAGTTACTGGTTATACTAATGAACGAGAATAAACCTAGAAGCTCTCATTGCAAAGGTATATAATACCATGTTCTCATTCAAAATTCACACGTACTTTTGTAATACTGCATCTCCTGATTTCAATGATTCATGTTACTACACATGAGTTCATATGGTGTTTCATAATCAACGTATTAAATACCTACATAATCATCTTTAGGGACATACACTACCGAGGATATGTTTATATAATTAGTACAAAAATAAGACATTCTCAACAAATAAAAATATGTATTATCAATATTATAATCGACTAGATACACGATTTTCCATTTGTTATAATAACCCATAAACACATGCTAAAACTAAAACACAAAATCATTTTATCTCGTGCATGGAACGGGTAACGATACTAGTAATATAATAAAGCAAACCCTTAAAGAACCCTTTAGAGGAATTGTTGACATGTGGCAACATCCTTTGTATAAAAAAGTGACACGTGGCAAAACAATAAATTAAAATAAAAGCTATTCAACTTTCAAAACTCTACTTTTAAATATTCCAATATTATAGATATGTATTTATATTAATATATGTGTATATATTTGTTATAATTTTCAATATAAAATCAGGTAAAATTTTGCACTCGCCGGTATTACAAAATTCAAATACTCAAAAATAAATAATAATTAACAATTTTTAGCCACTCTTAAAATAAAAATATTACTTCTATTTCTTTTCTCATAAACTCTTGCAGGTTCTCCCTCATTTGGAATTTTTATAAATTGGTTCTTATTTGTTTCCAAAATATGATAATTAATACATCCTCCATCTCATTCATTTTCTCTGATATTTTGTGTTTCTTTCATTCACTAAGTTTGTGTAGCTCCAAATATTATAATGCATATGTAGTTCTAAATCATTCTTACACTATTGTCCCTCCTTTTCATTTCAACATTAGCTAGATAAACTTTTTTTTAATAGCTGCACATGTCTTGATCTTAATGAGACAAATGTGATATTACTTATCTATTTATTAATTCACAAGGTCTACTAAATCAATGTCTAAAGGTAAATTCATTTTTTGTCACATATTTATTTATACTTCACAATTTATGTTCATGTTGTTAAATGGGTTAGCACTCCCCAATTTCATCGCTTGGATCGTCTAACTGCCTAATGGTCTCAAACGACGCACATTATTTTTAATGGGGGTGCACAATACACTTATAGTTAAAATAATGCAGACTTTAAATGGACAAGAAAGGTTGAATTTTTACAAAAATGTCAAGACATTTTTTATTTATGATAGCACATATTTCTATTTCAAATCATGCACGAATGGCACGATTTATAAATCTAACATTCGAGTTCATTTTAATTCCTTTTTTACACGTTAAGGTGTCTTCTCATTTGAACTCAACCTTATATATATAATTTACAATTTTCAAATCTAATGTTCCGGTACATGTATAGAAATAATGCTAGAGTAAATTATTTGAATAATTAGTATATATAGAAATAATAGTTCAACAAGGGTTGTAAATTAATAAGTATATTAGAAAATTATTTTGGTAGAATAACATCAATATTGAAGATAATGAAAATAAAAAATAGATGTTTATATTTTGGTTTACTCGCAACCTGAATGGGTCAACTCACTTAAGCTGCAACCCGTGCAAGTTGCACCACGAAACTGGTGAGTTCATTGGATTGAAGAATGACAACTCTAACCCACCATGAAATGAGATGAAATGGGCTAACCCTATGGACTTCGACTCATTTTGACAGCTCTATCCATACTCGATTAAATTTTTCTTTTAAAAACTAATTGACAAATTCATATACAATTTATTTTCCCTACAATTTAATAAAAACTTTAAGCACATATTTTCCCGTGCAGTGCACGGGTACACATACTAGTATTATAATATTTTACACAACCCAAGAGGCCAAGAAAACTAATCACATTCCTCGGTTTGTGTAATACTGTAATCTGTTCAAATGAGCCTTCCAAGTAACAAAATTGGGTCGGGGTAAATCTAGCATATACTTTCTCTTGTATTACCAAGGAATAGAAATTACCTCTTGGTAGCTTCCTAATTGTGTGATAGTTGGATCAGCATTGACTAAAGCTTTCTCACTTAACTTAATAGCATTGTGAAAGTTCTTCAAATGGTCATACTTGGGCTGTCTAATTATACCTATTCCATATATGGGAAAAAACATCAGTTAAAAATCAAAACAAGTGTTTCAAGAGATGGATTAAGACTTTATACTCTTACCATATTCATCAATAGGAGCATCATCATAATCATAGCTAGTAGTAAGAAAAGGACCTCCTGCTTTTCTTCCAAAATTGCTTCCTCCATGATACCTTCAAAAGAAAAGAAAATGAAACAAGACCAGTCTGGCATATCAGTAATAAATTCACAAAGGAGCTTCCAAACTCTTCAGAAGCATAACTTTGAGGAAAAAATTACTTGGTTACAGAAGTAATCTGCGGCGACCTCCGGCCTCTTCATCGTTTTCCGGCGTCAAGACCAGTCTGGCAAAAGCTCCGGCGTTCGTTCCCCCCCTTCTCCGGCGATGCGTGGTACAGAGAGATGGTTCCGACTTTCTTTATCATCCGTTCTCTCTCTCTCTCTGAAGAGAAGGTTTGGCTTTCTTCTCTTTTGGTTTTTGCAGTGACGAAGGAATAAATATGGGTGTGTACGCAGGTATGACGGTCGAAGGCAGAGTAGGTATTTATACGCGCTCATAGAAGAGAGGATGAAGATAATGGCATTTCCCAGCCAGAAAATATCCCACACTGAAACTAAACCAAGTTTGAACGTTTTTATAATCAACTTGGAAGAGCATTGATTACCAATTGAGAGTCAAGTAGATACGTCCACTTGGTCTGGCACTCGCATGTATAGTCTCTTATAATTTAATATTCTAAGAGAATTTAAATACGGGTGACAACCAAGTGGACCTATTTACTTCTATACTATTGATAATTTTTTTAAATAATAATTTTTGTAGTTATTGATCTAAGAGAATTTAAAGACAGGTGCAGAACCTCAAATCTCATCACACCCAATTCTCCAAGCGGTCTCTCTTCCCTTGAGCGGGAATTTGGCCAATAATCCACCTTGCTTTGTATATAGATTAGATTAGATTAGATTAGATTATGCTTTTCTTTTTTGTTTTTTCAAAATTACACATTTTTATCAATACTAGATATAACAATACAAGTTTATGAACTTTAAACTAGAAAGAAGTGAAAAGGTATGAAATAGAAATATGATTTTCTTCTTAAGTTTTACTAATTCATTCATTGGAAGTGTAATTGTGAGAAACGTTAAAGTTTGAATCTTTTTTAATAAAAGTGCAAGTAGGAGATAGAGTTGTGTTCGATGATAGTTGAGGATATATTTAGCTAATAATTCATATAAATATTCACATAATGTAAGAATATTACACTGCTTTTTTGTTCACGTCTTGACTAAAATCCAAAACAAGTTTACTTCATTTATGCTTACATACTGAACATTGTATCACATGCCTTCACATTTCTTAGTTTAATAATTGGGGCACTCAAACTGAGCATATTACTATTAGTGAAAGGAAAAAGGGTCAAATAGACCCATGTACAAATAGGGATACATCACATAGACCCATGTACTAAAAAACAATCATATAAACTCACCTAGTCTTAGAATACAATCAATTAAATCCAATTACTGGAAGTTAACCTTGAGCACCCGGTTAGAAGATAATCTTTTAATTTTTTTTTCTCTTTGGTTACTCCATCGTTCCCAGAGTCCACAAACCTACCTCTGTAAATCCCACTTCTTATCTTCTTCTACTTTTTTATTTCAACACATTCATTTTTGTAAACCCTAAGAAAAATGTTTACCTAGCCAACTTTCCCTAAGATCACATCACCATTGCCAATTGCTTTTCCCCTGATCATTGAACAGAGAGGGTGACATCCACTTCTTCTACTTTTTTATTTCAACACATTCATTCTTGTAAACCCTAAGAAAAATTTTTACCTAGCCAACTTTCCCTAAGATCACATAACCATTGCCAATTGCTTTTCCCCTGATCATTGAACAGAGAGGGTGACATCCACCATGACCTCTTCTTGCTTGTTCGTCTCCATTCCATTCTAGAAACAGCTCTCATCGTTTATTGCAGCATCATCCTCTAGCTCCCGACCCATCCACCCCAGTCCTCAACCCGGAAAAAGAAGCGACCATGAATTCCCCATCTCCAGCCTTCCATCCAGGGATACGCGACCGGCGTCACAGGATTACCGTCACAGGAGAAGTAAGAGTAGAGCTACAAATCGCCTGTGCCTCCGTCTCCTTGATTTGATATAGCCAGGCCGGACGATAATATATGTATACCGATATGCTCCGTATATTACCCACACACATGTGTATATAGACACAAAGAGTCAAAGAGAGATTAAAGATGAAATATAAAATTTGTTTTAGTTCTCGTAGGTTTTTGTAGCTGGAACTCTGGAAGACGGTGATCGAGAATAGGATGAGAAAGAGACAATAGGAATGAAAAAAGAGAACAAAAAAAAGAGAATAGAAAAAGTCAAACTTTTCAATTATAACCAGCTAGAAAGGTCCATTTCCGGTGACTTTGACCACAATGATCCTTTTTATATAGTAGATGCGTTCAAGTGATTTCTTTATTAGTAGATGGGTTAATGTGATGTATTCATTATATATAGTACATGGGCTTATATGACTCCCTTTCTTTAATGAAAAGGAGTTTAGCATCTATGTGTTCGAAAGATAGTTTTACATAGTATTTCATAGGTAAATGAAGAAATTAGCAAATGAAATGAATTACTCTCCCTTCTTGAATTATCTTCCAACTTCCCTTTTCCGTTAATCCCAAAATAATCTTCATTTTCTCTTTTTTGGCAAAGAATTTGTAGTTGACAACAATTTTTACACATTTTTACATATTTCTCTCTCCTTTGCGCAACCACACAATTCACACTTTCTTAATTCGTGAGTCACATGTACTTTGAGAGATTTATGAACGAAGGGAGTAAACGCGAAACTTCCATCGACGTTAATTTTTTTACTCTCGTATATACATATCAGTTAAAAGTGCAAAAGGATATGTACAATGATACATCATCCCAACTCCCAAGTGGAACAAAAAGTACATTGATAAATAAAACACTCTGCCATATGAATCATGAGTTTGGGTTGTGATTTTATCTGATCTACTCAAATAATCTTATTCCAACTATATCATTCATGTGCAGTATATGACCGACCATAATCCAATAAAGAGGAAGAAATGGTAGATGGATATACAAAATGAATTGAACTAGTCTAACAATATTATTATCCTAAATATAAATATCTGTACGTAAGTAAGCGTTCTTTTAACTACCGCGATTCCAGATGGATCTCCGCCTATCTCCTCAAAAATCACCAGCAGGTTGTCTGTCTATTTTAGCCAGGACCGAGGAACATGATACCTAAAAAAAAACTCATTAGAAAGAAGGGGTGAATGGACGAAAAAGGGTTGTGTTGGAGAGTGATTTAATATTCTTGTTTACCATTGTTGTGTAGGCCGGCCGCACCCGGATTGGCACTTTGGGGATCGGTACGTCCCTCGATATGTGCAGACGCTGCAATTTCCAACTGCTGAGATAGTCCAATACCTACCGATGCTTTGGCCATTGATCAAAACTTCACCCTTTCCCATACTGCCCATGTCCAATGCCAATGGCTCATTTCCTTTCGGATTATTGAAATAGGACTGCAAAAAAATATTAAAAAAAGGAGCTTACTCTTTTCCATATCTACAAACCAATCATGTAAGAACTGTGCCACAGGACAAAATAGAACTGTCCCCCCTAGTTGGAGATGAACTTGTGTTAGGTGTACATTAGGTGTGGAGTCGTGAAACTTTGCATGGCCGAGATGAGGTATTGGGTCATTAAGGTATGTGACCTCATGACAAATTGCATGGTTATCAAGTTCAAAGGATGTATACCTCTATGAGATGAAAACAATTAAAATTGTAGAATCTATATGAGGTCTCTGGTTGTGATGGACGTTGAAGAGTTTGTTTCACGTACGTTAAATATGAAATAACAAACTAGCATTTAATTAGCGAATTATGCTATCAAGCTCAGCATGCCATGATCACGTTAAGACCATTGCCTCCATCTTAAAACTTCAAACATAATCCATAATATGAGGAATATTAGCCTTATATATTACGGAGTAGTTTGATTTTCTTATATTTCATGAATAAAGGAATGACTTAAACAATTTCCTACTTCCCCAATGCATAAAAAAGATCAATCTGACATTGCAAATTTGCAAGGTTAAAATACAAGCACTCTATCATTGCATACCTTATACCAAGTCAGGGGCTGTTGCTGCACAGCTAAGGACCCTTCAACCCATCCAACAGATGAAATTCCATTTGGTGAAACTGCGTTAGATGCTTCACCTCTCAAACCTACCTGTATAAATCATTATAAAGACGAAGTTAAACGGACTCCCAAAGCAAAGCAAAGAAGAATGCTTATATGATTGTCACCTGATAAGACCATTTCTGCCAAGATAAGCCCCTAGGTCCATTGGGTAGTCCACGCAATACGACGGGTCCAATGATTCCTGTGTGCCGTCTTTCGTAATAGGCACCATCATTCTTCAAAGACAAATATAAAGAAAAAAAGAAATTAAACATAAATATTTCAAAGATGTAATGGATGAGACCATGTGGCAGAATCTGCATTTCATGCGCAAGGAGCTAACCGGCAATCCAATTGCTACACTGAGGAGAGAAATTTTGTTCACTCCAGATTGCAATGCGACATTCAGTGTATATTTGAACTCTGGGTGATCTTTAGTTCCATAAGCTGACCCTGCTATTCAATCAAGACAATGTGTGTGGAGCTTCTAATTGTTTTACACTAAGGTTACGTTTGGATCCTGAAAAATGCTAGGGGGAGATTGTTAAGAAAACTCATTTTCTTCTGTTCGGTATGGTGATTTACCACCAAAAATGAAAAGTATTACTACGTCTTACTTTTTATATTTTTTCTTAGTTGTTCTTGCATCTTTTAGTCTTTATATAATGGGAATAGGTAAATACAATGAGTTCAAACAAATATATAAAAAATATTAAGCTTAAGCACATGATTTAGTTTCCCTTAGAGTTTTCTTTTCTTCCAAATTTCCCCAATTTTTTCTTGTTCCCTATCCCTAGCAACTTCCTAGGCCCAAAGAGACCCAAAATTAAGAATTTATTAGGATTTCACAATGAAAGAATGCAATTGGACCTGAGAATCGCCCGTTGACGAAGACATGCAATGCATGACCTGCTGACTGCACTGTGAGAGCTGGTTGTTGTCCTTGGATGAATTCAGATGGACTCATCTTAACACTGAAAAGTTCATCACAGTCATTCTCAAAGCACTAACCTGTTTGGAATGGCTTTTTACATGGAGGGTTTTAAATTTGTTAGGAGAGGAAGGTTTTTCTTTGGGGGAGGAGAAGAAGGTTTTATGTTTCTAAATACAAATAAAATGTGATTAAAATATTTCACTATAACATACAGTCATATGGAGTATAATGTAAGTATTTGGATTTTAAAAAAGCAGAGATATTAAGATATGAACTAGCCCTCCAAAGTAGTCCGAACTTTTTAGTTCTAAACCCCTTCCCACAAACACACCTTAGAAAATGGGATATTCCTGAGAATCCTAAATTCCCAAAAGGTTTGTTTTGAACATGGAAACCACTGGGGGGAAACAAGAGGAGCGAAGCACAGAAGAAATTTGGAAGGAAAAATAATGTGGGAAAATAAAAGGCATGCTAAATCTTACTCAAATAAATTAATAATTTTATTTTAGATATTTGATAATTATGCAAATTATGTCCAAGTTAAAACCAAACATTAGAAAACTACTTCACTTAGCATATGTGTTCCTTTAGCTAGCAGTTTACAATGTCCAAACACACCCGAGTGGTGGCAGGAATAAAAACACTTCCATCTACCATGAGTTTCATTCCTAGCATGGTTTGATCTAAATCTTACGGAGTAGTATATTATTATCATCGATCATATCATTCCAGATGAGTCTTAACTCTTAATGAAGGTGGTCCTTACCTGGTGCTGTACCAGAGATAATCACTGGTATCCCTGGTGACATTTAATTGCTCCAACAGACCACTAACAGTAAGCTTTGAATAACTATCTTCATTAAATATGTCTTCAGCAGACCACTAAATGTTGACTAAAGCTTTCTCACTTAACTTAATAGCATTGTGAAAGTTCTTCAAATGGTCATACTTGGGCTGTCTAATTATACCTATTCCATATATGGGAAAAAACATCAGTTAAAAATCAAAACAAGTGTTTCAAGAGATGGATTAAGACTTTATACTCTTACCATATTCATCAATAGGAGCATCATCATAATCATAGCTAGTAGTAAGAAAAGGACCTCCTGCTGTTCTTCCAAAATTGTTTCCTCCATGATACCTTCAAAAGAAAAGAAAATGAAACAAGACCAGTCTGGCATATCAGTAATAAATTCACAAAGGAGCTTCCAAACTCTTCAGAAGCATAACTTTAAGGAAAAAATTACTTGGTTACAGAAGTAATCTGCGGCGACCTCCGGCCTCTTCATCGTTTTCCGGCGTCAAGACCAGTCTGGCAAAAGCTCCGGCGTTCGTTCCCCCCCTTCTCCGGCGATGCGTGGTATAGAGAGATGGTTCCGACTTTCTTTATCATCCGTTCTCTCTCTCTCTCTCTGAAGAGAAGGTTTGGCTTTCTTCTCTTTTGGTTTTTGCAGTGACGAAGGAATAAATATGGGTGTGTACGCAGGTATGACGGTCGAAGGCAGAGTAGGTATTTATAGAAGAGAGGATGAAGATAATGGCATTTCCCACACTGAAACTAAACCAAGTTTGAACGTTTTTATAATCAACTTGGAAAAGCATTGATTACCAATTGAGTGTCTTTAATAAGGAAGTAGATACGTCCACTTGGTCTGTCACTCGCATATATAGTCTCTTATAATTTAATATTCTAAGAGAATTTAAATACGGGTGACAACCAAGTGGACCTATTTACTTCTATATTATTGATAATTTTTTAAAATAATAATTTTTGTAATTATTGATCTAAGAGAATTTAAAGACAGTTGCAAAACCTCAAATCTCATTACACCCAATTCTCCAAGCGGTCTCTCTTCCCTTGAGCGGGAATTTGGCCAATAATCCACCTTGCTTTGTATATAGATTGATTAGATTAGATTAGATTATGCTTTTCTTTTTTTGTCTTTTCAAAATTACACATTTTTATCAACACTAGATACTACCTACGTTCTTTTTTAATTGCAACATTGGACTTTTCGCACTATTCACATACTCTTCTTTGACTATATTTTATATATTAATGTATTATAAATTAAATTTTTAAAAAGTAATGTTAAATTCTTCTCATTCTAAATTTTCAAAACATGAATTTTCAAATTTTTTACTAATAAGGAATGAAAGATATTAATGGTCAAACTTGTGCATTGACAAACGTGAAATGTTGACCGTTGCAATTAAAAGAGAACGGAGGAAGTATAACAATACAAGTTTATGAACTTTAAACTAGAAAGAAGTGAAAAAGTATGAAAGAGAAATATGATTTTTTCTTAAGTTTTACTAATTCATATATTGGAAGTGTAATTGTGAGAAAAGTTAAAGTTTGAATCTTTTTTAATAAAAGTGCAAGTAGGAGATAGAATTGTGTTCGATGATAGTTGAGGATATATTTAGCTAATAATCCATATAAATATTCATATAATGTAAGAATATTACACTGCTTTTTTGTTCACGTCTTGACTAAAATCCAAAACAAGTTTACTTCATTTATGCTTACATACTACACATTGTATCACATGCCTTCACATTTCTTAGTTTAATAATTGGGGCACTCAAACTGAACATATTACTATTAGTGAAAGGAAAAAGGGTCGGGAAAACGTGCAAATAGGCCCATGTACTAACCAAAAAAGGTCAAATAAGCCCTTATTTAGGAGACTTTGTCCGGCCGTCGTCATTTTGAGTGGTTCCCGGTGGAATTTTTTGATGCAATTTTTTTAGCATCTTATTCATTAAGTCTAGTTTACTTATACCAAATTTCAGCTAAAACTTCAATCGGGAAGGCAGAGTAGGTATTTATACGCGCTCATAGAAGAGAGGATGAAGATAATGGCATTTCCAAGCCAGAAAATATCTCACACTGAAACTAAACAAGTTTGAACGTTTTTATAATCAACTTGGAAGAGCATTGATTACCAATTGAGTGTCTTCCGTCTTTGATAAGGAAGTAGATACGTCCACTTGGTCTGGCACTCGCATATATAGTCTCTTATAATTTAATATTCTAAGAGAATTTAAATACGGGTGACAACCAAGTGGTCCTATTTACTTCTATATTATTGATAATTTGTTTAAATAATAATTTTTGTAGTTATTGATCTAAGAGAATTTAAAGACGGGTGCAAAACCTCAAATCTCATCACACCCAATGCTCCAAGTGGTCTGTCTTCCCTTGAGCGGGAATTTGGCCAATAATCCACCTTGATTTGTATATAGATTAGATTATGCTTTTCTTTTTTGTTTTTTCAAAATTACACATTTTTATCAATACTAGATATAACAATACAAGTTTATGAACTTTAAACTAGAAAGAAGTGAAAAGGTATGAAATAGAAATATGATTTTCTTCTTTAAGTTTTACTAATTCATACATTGGAACTGTAATTGTGAGAAACGTTAAAGTTTGAGTCTTTTTTAATAAAAGTGCAAGTAGGAGATAGAGTTGTGTTCGATGATAGTTGAGGATATATTTAGCTAATAATCCATATAAATATTCACATAATGTAAGAATATTACACTGCTTTTTGTTCACGTCTTGACTAAAATCCAAAACAAGTTTACTTCATTTATGCTTACATACTGAACATTGTATCACATGCCTTCACATTTCTTAGTTTAATAATTGGGGCACTCAAACTAAACATATTACTATTAGTGAAAGGAAAAAGGGTCAAATAGACCCATGTACAAATAGAGATACATCACATAGACCCATGTACTAAAAAACAATCATATAAACTCACCTAGTCTTAGAATACAATCAATTAAATCCAATTACTGGAAGTTAACCTTGAGCACCCGTTTAGAAGATAATCTTTTATTTTTTCTTTCTCTTTGGTTACTCCATCGTTCCCAGAGTCCACAGACCTACCTCTGTAAATCCCACTTCTTATCTTCTTCTAATTTTTTAACTTTTTATTTTTTTTTCTACTTCTTTCATTGCAGTACCTTTTTATTTCAACACATTCATTTTTGTAAACCCTAAGAAAAATGTTTACCTAGCCAACTTCCCCTAAGGATCACATCACCATTGCCAATTGCTTTTCCCCTGATCATTGAACAGAGAGGGTGACATCCACCATGACCTCTTCTTGCTTGTTCGTCTCCATTCCATTCTAGAAACAGCTCTCATCATTTATTGCAACTAGCATCATCCTCTAGCTCCCGACCCATCCACCCCAGTCCTCAACCCGGAAAAAGAAGCGGCCATGAATTCCCCATCTCCAGCCTTCCATCCAGGGATACGCGACCGGCGTCACAGGATTACCGTCACAGGAGAAGTAAGAGCAGAGCTACAAATCGCCTGCCTCCGTCTCTTTGATTTGAAATAGCCAGGCCGGACGATAATATATGTATACCGATATGCTCCGTATATTACCCACACACATGTGTATATAGACACAAAGAGTCAAAGAGAGATTAAAGATGAAATAATAAAATTGTTTTAGTTCTCGTAGGTTTTTGTAGCTGGAAGACGGTGATCGAGAATAGGATGAGAAAGAGACAACAGGAATGAAAAAAGAGAACAAAAAAAGAGAATAGAAAAAGTCAAACTTTTCAATTTTAACCAGCTAGAAAGGTCCAGTTCCGGGTTAATGTGATGTATTCATTATATATAGTACATGGGCTTATATGACTCCCTTTCCTTAATGAAAAGGAGCTTGGCATCTATGTGTTCGAAAGGTAGTTTTACATAGTATTTCATAGGTAACTAGTATAGTACCCGTGCATACGCACGGGTCAAGAACTGTTGTGCATATATTTGTATTCAAGATTTAATTAGAAACAAATAAAAAATACATTTTAAATTTTAATATTATTCCAAAAGGTGATTGTATAATGAGTACCATAAAATATAAGAAAAATATTTAAACACTAAAAGTAAAAGAATATTAGGTGAAATTAATTGACACACATCCATTATAATTTGCTACTATTAGTTAATATTGTCGGTAAAATATAATAAAACCAAACTTATTTGTTAGGAATTTTGAAAAACCTTTTCAAGTACAATATTCTTAATAGTGTATGTATAATGAGTTTTCCTCCTCATTATGTACCAAGTTCATGAGCCAATGTTTGCTCTCAACTCTCAATAAGGCCCATATAGTTATCAATGACTATAAGACCTTGATATTTGTTGATTATCATATCATAGGAGACAATTAGGAGAAATGTTCTTGTGATAAGTTTAAAGGTCATTACGATTGAGAAGGAGCATACATGTTATTAAAAAGAGAAGTAGAAATGAAATGATTTCATTCAAGTGTTTTGCAATATTTAATCCTCGCGAGAACTCCAAGTGTTTAATAGAGAAGACATATAGTGCAAATACACAAGTTGAACAAAAACTCTAAATTCTAAATAAAAAAAAACAAATGGTTGGATTCTAGTCTATGCAAGTCATTCATGATATAAGTTGTTGGCACTTGGCCTTCTGAAATACGAATTTCCTTGTCTACCAACCTCAAGCATCTGGTTTTTAAGATCTAGAGCAAATCTTCTAAGTAGTCGAAGGCATTCATGATCCCACAATACAAATTTGCATGGTTTTTTCCATGATATGCCAGGATTTCCAATCTTTATCTGTCAAGAAAACCTTAGACATATTAATATTATAATGTAAGTAAAGATTGTGTAGACATATGAGTAAGTAGTTGAAATACATGTGAAAAGATTTCTCATTATAAGTGCAACATGAACATGTAAATGAGGCATTATTTGATCTTCACAATAGATTTTATATTACATTTAGAGCAATGGCATAACTCCAAACCGCCTTACAACCAATTTTGCAATTGTACCAACACTGAAACATTTGGTCTCGAATGTTCAAGGCTGTGGGCTTGTAACAAATAAATAAAGTATGAGAACGATGGCTTAAAACTACGCTTAAAACTACTCCAAGAACACAAATAAAAGGTTTATGCCTACTTTTATAGTCTATTGTTATTGTTTTAATTTAGCTAAGAAACAGATTTATAATAACCCGGCAAATGAGCAAAACTCTAATAGTAACATAATTAGATGCCCGAAACCGTCTTAAGAAATAACCAAATCCCCGAAACCGTCTTAAGAAATAACCAAATCCTACTGATTCTTTTAAGAAAAAGTTTGATGCTCGAGTTTAGCATATACAGGCATTTTTTAAAACAAATGTTTGATGCTATTAGTTAGAATTCTTTAATTTCATTATATTGAAAATGTGGGCTTGCTATTCATATACCCAAGGCTTTGTGCTTGCAAAGTTGGTTGATTTGGTTGAAGGGGCAAAGCTATAACAGAAAAATAATTGCTTCAATAATGGGAAAACTGAAAACATCTAACTATACACAACCAAAATAACATAGGGTCAATTGAAAAGGTGTTTAGGAAAGTTTAAAATATGCTAGTAACAAAAGTACCACAACCATTTCTATCATCCAAATGGGACATATAGATTAAAAGGAAAAGTGAACGGCAAAGAGATGTGTGAATATTTTATGAATTTAACTAAATATAGAAACAAACAAAAAAACTAAATATTGATTATTTAACTACGAAGAAGGTGTAATGCCTGGTGTAGAACCTTTGGATATTTTTTTTATATAAAAAATAAGATCCTTGATTTGTGCTTTATGTTTCGTAAAATTGATTAGATTCATATATGGGCAGAATGTACTCACATTTGATTAGATTTGAAATGAAATGAAATATATCAAGGAATATATCTAATGAAGTAATCATTCTATTAATCACCATATTTGAGTAAAAAACAAAATGAACTAATGACATTCAGATGTTCGATTAGATTACATATGTAAACATTTAATCACAATAATGATTAGAGATAGAGAAACAAATGTTGAACTGAAGTTGTGAATTGAGAAATACATAAACGATGAATTAGAGAGTACCTTTTTTTTTTAATTAGAGAGTACCTCCGGTACTCAAGAAGTGGTAGTATGAAGCCCTAATGTCGTCCTGCATCTGTATATATAGTGACGGTAAAATAGGAGTAGTGATTATCTGGAGGTCTCCTAGATTGGGTGAAGTGCTAGGTGCGGTAATCTGTATACAGAGATAGAGATGAAGAATTCTAAATAGAAGTAAATATCATTAAAATTGCTGGATTTCACATGCTATAATTGAGGGAGATGTTGTGATCTTCTGTCGCAGGTGATATCAGAAAAGTGAGGCTGAAAATTTGCCGAGATGAGAAGATAAACATGGAAAGCGTTCACAACATGTGTGATGATATATTTAAAATTAAAGAAGTCATGTGGCAGTAAGATATCAAAGGAGAGAAAATTGGGGAGACAAACACAAAATTGACATCAGGTTACTATATTGATGTCCAGAGGCAGTTACTTCCCCAGACACAAAATTGATGCCCAGTTACTTCCCCGACTCCCACAATTTTAATAACCTGTGTATCTTAAAACAGTCCCCTGTTTTTCTCAAACTACCCCTCTAACAAACTCACATTTCAAACCGGTAAGAGAATGCAGTATGTTCACTTTATACATTTAAAGATAACCATATAAGAAATGAGTTGGATGGTATTTACAGAAAGCTATCACTCCCTATATGCCTGAAGTAACTATACCTTGAATATAGGATCCAATATATAGTTGTGGAAGCTCAAATAGTTAGAGCAAAGAAGCTGAAGAACATGCTATTTATCGAGCGCAAATTATTTATCCTCCCAGGAACTCCTAGAAACTCCCGTGTGCAAAAGGATGACGATTTTTTGGCAACATAGTAGCACTTCACTTTCACAGTAACAACAATATAACAACGCTTGAAAACATGCTTCAAAAAGTTGTGAAGAAATTGAATCAGATAATTGGATAAAATTCTGGAAAAATCTATGGCCATAAACTTTTAATTAGAACTGAAAAAAAATTGGCTAAAAAAATGGAAAGTTAATGAGTTTATTATTCTTTTCGGATAATTAAGCTTCTTAGTTGTAATGTATTTTTTCTCTAAGGGAAAAATTTAACTTTTTCTAACCTAGTAAATTCCTAACTTGGAGAAAAACTCATCATAGTTGAAATAAAGCAATGGAGGATATTAATATAGTGTAAAAAAATCCTGGTGAGAATCACTCCTTGAGTCATTTTCCTCTTTTTCTAATATTTAAAATAACTGAAAACACTAATACGAACATATGATAAGCCATCAAAAATTCGTTCCTAAGGATGTTCACAGAATAAGTTTTCTTACGAACATAATAAGCCATCAAAAAGTTATTTCTGATGACATGATTATCCTAAAAACCATGCTGCATGCTCTAGGAATGCATAGCCTAAACTCCCCTTTTCAAAAGTAGAGGAAATGAATGTTATTTACTAAATATTAATAAAGTTGAAATGCAAAAAAGGGAAAAAACAATTGTGTTTTAGAAGTTTTTTTCTTGCATTCCTCCTAAAACAGTGATAAATAAACTGATTAGAGCTACAACCATGTTCATGAACTCCATGCTATATTGAAACATCCATTCAAAGGTAAGCAAGAAAAAAACACTCCTAGTATGCTGTGCAAGAAAGAAGAAGGCTTAGACTTATCGGCATATATGCAGGAAGGAGGAGAAGTGTTAGTCGTTGGTTTTTTTCTTCTTCTTTGAAAAAGAAGACACATGGATTGATAATAGAAGCAGCCAGAATTCAGCCGAGAAGGACACGTTGGAATGGAGGGTATAATCGTATTTTAAACAGCCTATCGGTTTCTAAAACTTCTAATATATAAATAGATTTATCGTCTAAACAGGAAAAAAGAAACAAATAATAGTATAAAGATACAATATTTTGACATTATTAATAGTTCATTTAAACTGAAAAGTAACACACCTCTGCACAAATGAATCTGCAACTTTTAGGCCATTAATCATTTGAATCCATGTGCTTGTCTGTGGGAGGTCATGGAAGTAGTAGAATCAATGAGTAGATCAATCTTTACTCAAGAGTATAAATAAATGCCGTAAAAAAAGAGCTAGGGGACAACCTTAGTTCAGAACACAATTCTTGGGATGGTTGTTTTTCAATAAAAACCTGAAGTAAATGGAAATAAACTTAGTTTATTAGGTATGATAAAGGTCAGTATGTTAAAGAATAGCAGAAAAAAACTTTGATTTTCAAATCCAGTCCAAAAGCCTACTAAAACCAAGTCCTAAAGCATAACTTAAAGAGTATGAAATGTGAATCCATGTGCCTATCAATGGAAGGCCATGAAAGTAGTAGAATCCCGAGTAGACCAATCTTTATTCAAGAGTATAAAGAAAGGCCATAAAAAAGGCCAGAGTCAACCTTAGTTTAAAACTCAATTCTTGAGCTGGATGATCTTCAATCAACACCTGAAGTAAATAGAAAAACACAATTTATTGGGTAGAGAAAAGGTGATTTGTGAAAGATCAACCCACATGTTGATAAGTTGTATTATAGGAGAAGAGTGGGGGCAGTCTAACTAAGGGCAGTAACTATTGTACAGGGTTAGGCCATATACATTGTATCATGGGAGTGAGAGAAAGGTAGGTAGAAATTGGTTTGGGAGTGGAATATGACTGGGAGAGAAGGTGCACTCTCAAACTTGCCTCAACTATATTAGGTAAAACATGTCAAAAAAGGAAACATTCAAAAAATGCAAGAACAAAACAGGATAAAACAGATGCATTTGAGGCTACAAAAAACATATTTACTTTAGCTTTTAAAATCAGTTTTTTGTCATACACACAATGTATTCTTGTTCTTTAAATCTTAAAATGAACACATTCTTATACATACATATATCGACATTAACAGGTCTTAGGCTAGACTCAATTCTAATTTTCTCAATTTAGAAGTTGCAAGGCAGACATTATGAATTCCCAATTCTGAATTATAAAATCTAATATGCTTTTGTCATCAAAACATTTTATCGAACACCTTATATGCTACAGCTTACATGCTTTATGCACTTCCAATACGTGTAAAGATAATTAAAAAAATCAGCAGCAAATACTTGGAATCCTTTAAAGCTTACAATGAACACATTCTTATACATACATACATACATATATATATATATATATATATATATGGACATTAACAGGCCGCAAATACTAATTAGATGAAGAGAAAGATGATGGAATGAGAATAGAAGGCATACCTGCGTTATTAGAGAGTGCAGTAGCATAAAACCCTACTTGTATTCTAATGACATATATAGCGATGATAACTGCAGTAGTTTCTGATTTGACGTCTCTCAAGCTTGCGGTAATTTCGTCGACGGGGAGCGGGAAAGCCGTGCTATACATGGAAAGCTCTCCTGCGGAATATCCCAATCTGGCGAGGAATTATTGGAGAAGAAAGTGGTGTGCGCTGGTTTTTTGTGTTTTTTTGGCCGAGAAAATTGTGCGCAGGAGAAGAGGGGAGTAATTTTTTTTTTGAAGCGGTCGTGTTTCTTTCTCGACAACAAAGCCACGTGGATCGCCCAGAGAAGCAGAGTGAAATACGGGCCAGAGGACACATAGGATCGGAGGGCAGAAACGTACTTTTAACAGCCTATTCTTTTCTTATATATAAATAGAATGAAGAAATTAGCAAATGAAATGAATTACTCTCCCTTCCTGAATTATCTTCCAACTTCCCTTTTCCGTTAATCACAAAATAATCTTCATTCTCTTTTTTGGAAAAGAATTTGTAGTTGACAACAATTCTTACACATATTTACATATTTCTCTCTCTTTTGCGCAACCACACAATTCACACTTTCTTAATTCGTGAGTCACATGTACTATGAGAGAGATATGAACGAAGGGAGTAAACGCGAAACTTCCATCGACGTTGATTTTTTTACTCTCATACTTCGTATATACATATCAGTTAAAAGTGCAAAAGGATATGTACAATGATACATCATCCCAACTCCCAAGTGGAACAAAAAGTACATTGATAAATAATACACCCTGCCATATGAATCATGAGTTTGGGTTGTGATTTTATCTGATCTACTCAAATAATCTTATTTCAACTATATCATTCATGTGCAGTATATGACCAACCATAATCCAATAAAGAGGAAGAAATGGTAGATGGATATACAAAATGAATTGAACTAGTCTAACAATATTATTATCCTAAATATAAATATCTATACGTAAGTAAGCGTTCTTTTAACTACCGTGATTCCAGATGGATCTCCGCCTATCTCCTCAAAAACCACCAGCAGGTTGTCTGTCTGTTTTAGCCAGGACCGAGGAACATGATACCTAAAAAACAAACTCATTAGAAAGAAGGCGTGAATGGACGAAAAAGGGTTGTGTTGGAGAGTGTGATTTAATTTCCAACTGCTGAGATAGTCCAATACCTACCGATGCTTTGGCCATTGATCCAAACTTCACCCTTTCCCATACTGCCCATGTCCAATGCCAATGGCTCATTTCCTTTCGGATTATTAAAATAGGACTGCAAAAAAATATTAAAAAAAGGAGCTTACTCTTTTCCATATCTACAAACCAATCATGTAAGAACTGTGCCACAGGACAAAATAGAACTGTCCCCCCTAGTTGGAGATGAATTTGTGTTAGGTGTGGAGTCGTGAAACTTTGCATGGCCGAGATGAGGTATTGGGTCATTAAGGTATGTGACCTCATGACAAATTGCATGGTTATCAAGTTCATTGCATGGCCGAGATGAGGTATTGGGTCATTAAGGTATGTGACCTCATGACAAATTGCATGGTTATCAAGTTCAAAGGGTGTATACCTCTATGAGATGAAAACAATTAAAATTGTAGAATTTATATGAGGTCTCTGGTTGTGATGGGCGTTGAAGAGTTTGTTTCACGTACGTTAAATATGAAATACTCCCTCCGTATCAAATTAATTGACCTGTTTGCTTTTCACGCAGTTTAAGACAATTACTGTAGACTTTATTAAAAGTAAGAGGTTTTTGGTACTGTAGCGACACTGTAGCGGTACTGTAGCAGTACTGTAGCTGCTTTTTGAGTGAGATTCTTTCCAAAAAGGGAAACGGGTCAATTAAATTGATACACCAAAAAAGGAAAGTGGGTCAAGTAATTTGATACGGAGGGAGTAACAAACTAGCATTTAATTAGAGAATTATGCTATCAAGCTCAGCATGCCATGATCACGCTAAGATCATTGCCTCCATCTTAAAACTTCAAACATAATCCATAATATGAGGAATATTAGCCTTATATATTACGGAGTAGTTTGATTTTCTTATATTTCATGAATAAAGGAATGACTTAAACAATTTCCTACTTCCCCAATGCATAAAAAAGATCAATCTGACATTGCAAATTTGCAATGTTAAAATACAAGCACTCTATCATTGCCTACCTTATACCAAGTCAGGGGCTGTTGCTGCACAGCTAAGGACCCTTCAACCCATCCAACAGATGAAATTCCATTTGGTGAAACTACGTTAGATGCTTCACCTCTCAAACCTACCTGTATAAATCATTATAAAGACGAAGTTAAACGGACTCCCAAAGCAAAGCAAAGAAGAATGCTTATATGATTGTCACCTGATAAGACCATTTCTGCCAAGATAAGTCCCTAGGTCCATTGGGTAGTCCACGCAATACGACGGGTCCAATGATTCCTGTGTGCCGTCTTTCGTAATAGGCACCATCATTCTTCAAAGACAAACATAAAGAAAAAAAGAAATTAAACATAAATATTTCAAAGATGTAATGGATGAGACCATGTGGCAGAATCTGCATTTCATGCGCAAGGAGCTAACCGGCAATCCAATTGCTACACTGAGGAGAGAAATTTTGTTCACTCCAGATTGCAATGCGACATTCAGTGTATATTTGAACTCTGGGTGATCTTTAGTTCCATAAGCTGACCCTGCTATTCAATCAAGACAATGTGTGTGGAGCTTCTAATTGTTTTACACTAAGGTTACGTTTGGATCCTGAAAAATGCTAGGGGGAGATTGTTAAGAAAACTCATTTTCTTCTGTTCGGTTTGGTGATTTACCACCAAAAATGAAAAGTATTACTACGTCTTACTTTTTATCTTTTTTCTTAGTTGTTCTTGCATCTTTTAGTCTTTATATAATGGGAATAGGTAAATACAATGAGTTCAAACAAATATATAAAAAATATTAAGCTTAAGCACATGATTTAGTTTCCCTTAGAGTTTTCTTTTCTTACAAATTTCCCCAATTTTTTCTTGTTCCCTATCCCTAGCAACTTCCTAGGCCCAAAGAGACCCAAAATTAAGAATTTATTAGGATTTAACAATGAAAGAATGCAATTGGACCTGAGAATCGCCTGTTGACGAAGACATGCAATGCATGACCTGCGGACTGCACTCTGCGAGCTGGTTGTTGTCCTTGGATGAATTCAGATGGACTCATCTTAACACTGAAAAGTTCATCACAGTCATTCTCAAAGCACTAACCTGTTTGGAATGGCTTTTTACATGGAGGGTTTTAAATTTGTTAGGAGAGGAAGGTTTTTCTTTGGGGGAGGAGAAGAAGGTTTTATGTTTCTAAATACAAATAAAATGTGATTAAAATATTTCACTATAACATACAGTCATATGGAGTATAATGTAAGTATTTGGATTTTAAAAAAGCAGAGATATTAAGATATGAACTAGCCCTCCAAAGTAGTCCAAACTTTTTAGTTCTAAACCCCTTCCCACAAACACACCTTAGAAAATAGGATATTCCTGAGAATCCTAAATTCCCAAAAGGTTTGTTTTGAACATGGAAACCACTGGGGGGAAACAAGAGGAGCGAAGCACAGAAGAAATTTGGAAGGAAAAATAATGTGGGAAAATAAAAGGCATGCTAAATCTTACTCAAATAAATTAATAAATTTATTTTAGATATTTGATAATTATGCAAATTATGTCTAAGTTAAAACCAAACATTAGGAAAACTACTTCACTTAGCATATGTGTTCCTTTAGCTAGCAGTTTACAATGTCCAAACACACCCGAGTGGTTGCAGGAATAAAAACACTTCCATCTACCATGAGTTTCATTCCTAGCATGGTTTGATCTAAATCTTACGGAGTAGTATATTATTATCATCGATCATATCATTCCAGATGAGTCTTAACTCTTAATGAAGGTGCTGTACCAGAGATAATCACTGGTATCCCTGGTGACATTTAATTGCTCCAACAGACCACTAACAGTAAGCTTTGAATCACTATCTTCATTAAATATGTCTTCAGTAAATGTTGCCCAGGAGAGCGTTGGAATGTTTGTGGGCAACATCTGCACCTCAGATTTCTTCACTTCCACCTATGTTGGACCAAGAAGTATATAAACAAGAGGAAAGAAAATGTGTTTTTTAAAACAAAATATTAAAAAGTTATAGAAAAACACATGAGGATTCACTTATGCTATAAGTGTTTCTTACAGATATTTTCCCTTCTTGTAAAAAGAACTTATTCTTTTACTAACATTCCAAACGCACACTAAGACTTGTGGAAATATATATTGTTTCATAACTAACCGTGGCAGTGTTAAATATAGCATTCTTGCAATCTGGAAGAATCGAGGTTGACCAAGGTGGAAGTGTATATTGCTTCTTATTGAATGTCACAGTGGCTGATGAATTCAGATGTAAATTTGAGAGAAAAGCAGCACACTCTCCAGACGTGGAAAATACATGTGCCTGTAAATGGGAGACATTGAAAGGCTTGTTTTCGTCTAGATGATAAAATGGGAACTTTGGAGTGTCCAAGAATATATTAATAACTCTCATTCTTATAAGGCAGGACGCTTTGTATAAGACTGTTTTGTCTATGAAGTATTTGTTCTGCTTTTTTCAATTTTGCCCCAAATAAATATTGCAGTCGGGTCAATTGATTACAGAAATTATTGACTAACGAGATAATAAATGATGATAAATTGACATATTATAATATTTTACACAACCCAAGAGGCCAAGAAAACTAATCACATTCCTTGGTTTGTGTAATACTGTAATCTGTTCAAATGAGCCTTACAAGTTACAAAATTGGGTCGGGGGTAAATCTAGCATATACTTTCTCTTGCATTACCAAGGAATAGAAATTACCTCTTGGTAGCTTCCTAATTGTGTGATAGTTGGATCAGCATTGACTAAAGCTTTCTCACTTAACTTAATAGCATTGTGAAAGTTCTTCAAATGGTCATACTTGGGCTGTCTAATTATACCTATTCCATATATGGGAAAAAACATCAGTTAAAAATCAAAACAAGTGTTTCAAGAGATGGATTAGGACTTTATACTCTTACCATATTCATCAATAGGAGCATCATCATAATCATAGCTAGTAGTAAAAAAAGGACCTCCTGCTCTTCTTCCAAAATTGTTTCCTCCATGATACCTTCAAAAGAAAAGAAAATGAAACAAGACCAGTCTGGCATATCAGTAATAAATTCACAAAGGAGCTTCCAAACTCTTCAGAAGCATAACTTTAAGGAAAAAAATTACTTGGTTACAGAAGTAATCTGCGGCGACCCCCGGCCTCTTCATCGTTTTCCGGCGTCAAGACCAGTCTGGCAAAAGCTCCGGCGTTCGTGGTACAGAGAGATGGTTCCGACTTTCTTTATCATCCGTTCTCTCTCTCTCTCTGAAGAGAAGGTTTGGCTTTCTTCTCTTTTGGTTTTTGCAGTGACGAAGGAATAAATATGGGTGTGTGCGCAGATATGACGGTCGAAGGCAGAGTTGGTATTAACGCGCTCATAGAAGAGAGGATGAAGATAAAGGCATTTCCAAGCCAGAAAATATCCCACACTGAAACTAAACCAAGTTTGAACGTTTTTATAATGAACTTGGAAGAGCATTGATTACCAATTGAGTATCTTCTGTCTTTAATAAGGAAGCAGATACATCCACTTGGTCTGTCACTCGCATCTATAGTCTCTTATAATTTAGTATTCTAAGAGAATTTAAATACGAGTGTCAGCCAAGCGGAGCTATTTACTTCTACATTATTGATAATTTTTTTAAATAATACTCCCTCTGTCTCATTTAAACGTTCTCGTACACCATTCTCCGGTCAACGTGCATTTTTCTTAATCTTTTAATTTATATATCGAAAGTTTATGAAATTTAAATTATTTTTTGCAGATTTTGTAGCGGGTTTAATGTAGTATCTGAATATGTAAATTTTATTTACTAAAAATAATTCTACTAATGACAGGGATTAGTTAACTTTATGGTCAGTCAAGCATCGTAAATCATGTGAGAGCCTTAAAGTGGGACCGATGGAGTAATTTTTGTAGGTATTGATCTAAGAGAATTTAAAGACGGGTGCAAAACCTCAAATCTCATCACACCCGATTCTCCAAGCGGTCAGTCTTCCCTTGAGCGGGAATTTGGCCAATAATCCACCTTGCTTTGTATATAGATTAGATTAGATTAGATTAGATTAGATTAGATTATGCTTTTCTTTTTTGTTTTTTCAAAATTACACATTTTTTATCAATACTAGATATAAAAATACAAGTTTATGAACTTTAAACTAGAAAGAAGTGAAAAAATATGAAATAGAAATATGATTTTCTTCTTAAGTTTTACTAATTCATACATTGAATTGTAATTGTGAGAAAAGTGAAAGTTTGAGTCTTTTTTAATAAAAGTGCAAGTAGGAGATAGAGTTGGGTTCGGTGATAGTTGAGGATATATTTAGCTAATAATCCATATAAACATTCACATAATGTAAGAATATTACACTGCTTTTTTGTTCACGACTTGACTAAAATCCAAAACAAGTTCACTTCATTTATGCTTACATAACAATAGCGAGAGCACTTTGCCCCCATCCTCCGGTGCATACCATTGTATCACATGCCTTCACATTTCTTAGTTTAATAATTAGGGCACTCAAACTGAACATATTACTATTAATGAAAGGAAAAAGGATCAAATAGACTCATGCACAAATAGGGATACATCACATAGACCCATGTACTAAAAAAAATCATATAAACTCACTTAGTCTTAGAAAACAATCAATTAACTCCAATTACCGGAAGTTAACCTTGAACACCCGGTTAGAAGATAATCTTTTGTTTTTCTTTCTCTGTAAGTCCCACTTCTTATCTTCTTCTAATTTTTTAAGTTTTTTTTCTTCTTCTTTCATTGCAGTACCTTTTTATTTCAACAAATTCATTTTTGTAAACCCTAAGAAAAATGTTTTCCAAGCCAACTTTCCCTAAGGATCACATCACCATTCCCAATTGCTTTTCCCTGGTCATTGAAGAGAGAGGGCGACATCCACCATGACCTCTTCTTGCATGTTCGTCTCCATTCCATTCTAGAAACAGCTCTCATCGTTTATTGCAGGTAGCATCATCCTCTAGCTCCCGACCCATCCACCCCAGTCCCCGACCCAGAAAAAGAAGCGGCCATGAATTCCCCATCTCCAGCCTTCCATCCAGGGATACGCGACCGGCGTCACAGTATTACCGTCACAGGAGAAGTAAGAGTAGGGCTACAAATCGCCTGTGCCTCCGTCTCTTTGATTTGAAATAGCCAGGCCGGACGATAATATATGTATACCGATATACTCCTTATATTACCCACACACATGTATATGTAGACACAAAGAGTCAAAGAGAGATTAAAAATGAAAGAATAAAGTTGTTTTAGTTCTCGTAGGTTTTTGTAGCTAGAAGGTGATCGAGAATAGGATGAGAAAGAGACAGCAAGAATGAAAAAAGAGAACAAAAAAAAAAGAGAATAGAAAAAGTCAAACTTTTCAATTTTAACCGGCTAAAAAGGTCCATTTCCGGTGACTTTGACCACAATGATCCTTTTTATATAGCAGATGTGTCATGTGTTCAAGTGATGTTTTTACTAGTAGATGGGTTAATGTGATGTATTCATTATAGTACATGGGCTTATATGACTCCTTTTCCTTAATGAAAAGGAGCTTGGCATCTATGGGTTCGAAAGGTAGTTTTACAAAGTATTTCATAAGTAAATGAAGAAATTAGCAAATGAAATGAATTACTCTCTCTCCCTGAATTATCTTCCAACTTCCCTTTTCCGTCAATCCAGAAATATTCTTCATTTTCTCTTTTTTTGGCAGAGAATTGGTAGTTGACAACCATTCTTACACATTTTTACATATTTCTCTCTCCTTTGCGCAATCACACAATTCACACTTTCTTAATTCGTGAGTCACATGTACTTTGAGAGATTTATGAACGAAGGGAGTAAACGCGAAACTTCCCTCGACCTTGATTTTTTTACTCTCTTATCTATATCAGTTAAAAGTGCAACAGGATATGTACAATGATACAGCATCCCAACTCCCAAGTGGAACATACTCTGCCATATGAATCATGAGTTTGGGTTGTGATTTTATTTGATCTACTCAAATAATCTTATTCCAACTATATCATTCATGTGCAGTATATGACCGGCCATAATCCAATAAAGAGGAAGAAATGGTAGATGGATATACAAAATGAATTGAACTAGTCTAACAATATTATTATCCTAAATATAAATATCTATACCTAAGTAAGCGTTCTTTTAACTACCGCGATTCCAGATGGATCTCCGCCTATCTCCTCAAAAACCACCAGCAGGTTGTCTGTCTGTTTTAGCCAGGACCGAGGAACATGATACCTAAAAAACAAACTCATTAGAAAGAAGGCATGAATGGACGAAAAAGTGTGATTTAATATTCTTGTTTACCATTGTTGTGTAGGTCGGCCGCACCCGGATTGGCACTTTGGGGATCGGTACGTCCCTCGATATGTGCAGACGCTGCAATTTCCAGCTGCTGAGATAGTCCAATACCTACCGATGCTTTGGCCATTGATCCAAACTTCACCCTTTCCCATACTGCCCATGTCCAATGCCAATGGCTCATTTCCTTGTGGATTATTGAAATAGGACTGCAAAAAAATATTAAAAAAAGGAGCTTACTCTTTTCCATATCTACAAACCAATCATGTAAGAACTGTGCCACAGGATAAAATAGAACTGTCCCCCCTAGTTGGAGATGAATTTGTGTTAGGTGTACATTAGGTGTGGAGTCGTGAAACTTTGCATGGCCGAGATGAGGTATTGGGTCATTAAGGTATGTGACCTCATGACAAATTGCATGGTTATCAAGTTCAAAGGGTGTATACCTCTATGAGATGAAAACAATTAAAATTGTAGAATCTATATGAGGTCTCTGGTTGTGATGGACGTTGAAGAGTTTGTTTCACGTACGTTAAATATGAAATAACAAACTAGCATTTAATTAGCGAATTATGCTATCAAGCTCAGCATGCCATGATCACTCTAAGACCATTGCCTCCATCTTAAAACTTCAAACATAATCCATAATATGAGGAATATTAGCCTTATATATTACGGAGTAGTTTGATTTTCATATATTTCATGAATAAAGGAATGACTTAAACAATTTCCTACTTCCCCGATGCATAAAAAAGATCAATCTGACATTGCAAATTTGCAATGTTAAAATACAAGCAGACTATCATTGCCTACCTTATACCAAGTCAGGGGCTGTTGCTGCACAGCTAAGGACCCTTCAACCCATCCAACAGATGAAATTCCATTTGGTGAAACTACGTTAGATGCTTCACCTCTCAAACCTACCTGTATAAATCATTATAAAGATGAAGTTAAACGGACTCCCAAAGCAAAGCAAAGAAGAATGCTTATATGATTGTCACCTGATAAGACCATTTCTGCCAAGATAAGTCCCTAGGTCCATTGGGTAGTCCACGCAATACGACGGGTCCAATGATTCCTGTGTGCCGTCTTTCGTAATAGGCACCATCATTCTTCAAAGACAAATATAAAGAAAAAAAGCAATTAAACATAAATATTTCAAAGATGTAATGGATGAGTCCATGTGGCAGAATCTGCATTTCATGGGAAAGGAGCTAACCGGCAATCCAATTGCTACACTGAGGAGAGAAATTTTGTTCACTCCAGATTGCAATGCGACATTCAGTGTATATTTGAACTCTGGGTGATCTTTAGTTCCATAAGCTGACCCTGCTATTCAATCAAGACAATGTGTGTGGAGCTTCTAATTGTTTTACACTAAGGTTATGTTTGGATCCTGAAAAATGCTAGGGGGAGATTGTTAAGAAAACTCATTTTCTTCTGTTCGGTTTGGTGATTTACCGCCAAAAATGAAAAGTATTACTACGTCTTACTTTTTATATTTTTTCTTAGTTATTCTTACATCTTTTAGTCTTTATATAATGGGAATAGGTAAATACAATGAGTTCAAACAAATATATAAAAAATATTAAGCTTAAGCACATGATTTAGTTTCACTTAGAGTTTTCTTTTCTTCCAAATTTCCCCAATTTTTTCTTCTTCCCTATCCCTAGCAACTTCCTAGGCCCAAAGAGACCCAAAATTAAGAATTTATTAGGATTTCACAATGAAAGAATGCAAATGGACCTGAGAATCGCCCGTTGACGAAGACATGCAATGCATGACCTGCTGATTGCACTGTGAGAGCTGGTTGTTGTCCTTGGATGAACTCAGATGGACTCATCTTAACACTGAAAAGTTCATCACAGTCATTCTCAAAGCACTAACCTGTTTGGAATGGCTTTTTACATGGAGGGATTTAAATTTGTTAGGAGAGGAAGGTTTTTCTTTGGGGGAGGAGAAGAAGGTTTTATGTTTCTAAATACATATAAAATGTGATTAAAATATTTCACTATAACATACAGTCATATGGAGTATAATGTAAGTATTTGGATTTTAAAAAAGCAGAGATATTAAGATATGAACTAGCCCTCCAAAGTAGTCCAAACTTTTTAGTTCTAAACCCCTTCCCACAAACACACCTTAGAAAATAGGATATTCCTGAGAATCCTAAATTCCCAAAGGGTTTGTTTTGAACATGGAAACCACTGGGGGGAAACAATAGGAGCGAAGCACAGAAGAAATTTGGAAGGAAAAATAATGTGGGAAAATAAAAGGCATGCTAAATCTTACTCTAATAAATTAATAAATTTATTTTAGATATTTGATAATTATGCAAATTGTGTCTAAGTTAAAACCAAACATTAGAAAACTACTTCACTTAGCATATGTGTTCCTTTAGCTAGCAGTTTACAATGTCCAAACACACCCGAGTGGTGGCAGGAATAAAAACACTTCCATCTACCATGAGTTTCATTCTTAGCATGGTTTGATCTAAATCTTACGGAGTAGTATATTATTATCATCGATCATATCATTCCAGATGAGTCTTAACTCTTAATGAAGGTGGTCCTGACCTGGTGCTGTACCAGAGATAATCACTGGTATCCCTGGTGACATTTAATTGCTCCAACAGACCACTAACAGTAAGCTTTGAATCACTATCTTCATTAAATATGTCTTCAGTAAATGTTGCCCAGGAGAGCGTTGGAATGTTTGTGGGCAGCATCTGCACCTCAGATTTCTTCACTTCCACCTATGTTGGACCAAAAAGTATATAAACAAGAGGAAAGAAATGTGTTTTTTAAAACAAAATATTAAAAAGTTAAAGAAAAACACATGAGGATTCACTTATGCTATAAGTGTTTCTTACAGATGTTTTCCCTTCTTGTAAAAAGAACTTATTCTTTTACTAACATTCCAAACGCACACTAAGACTTGTGGAAATATATATTGTTTCATAACTAACCGTGGCAGTGTTAAATATAGCATTCTTGCAATCTGGAAGAATCGAGGTTGACCAAGGTGGAAGTGTATATTGCTTCTTATTGAATGTCACAGTGGCTGATGAATTCAGATGGAAATTTGAGAGAAAAGCAGCACACTCTCCAGACGTGGAAAATACATGTGCCTGTAAATGGGAGACATTGAAAGGCTTGTTTTTGTCTAGATGATAAAATGGGAACTTTGGAGTGTCCAAGAATATATTAATACCTCTCATTCTTATAAGGCAGGACGCTTTGTATAAGACTGTTTTGTCTATGAAGTATTTGTTCTGCTTTTTTCAATTTTGCCCCAAATAAATATTGCAGTCGGGTCAATTGATTACAGAAATTATTTACTAACGAGATAATAAATGATGATAAATTGAAATATTATAATATTTTACACAACCCAAGAGGCCAAGAAAACTAATTACATTCCTTGGTTTGTGTAATACTGTAATCTGTTCAAATGAGCCTTACAAGTTACAAAATTGGGTCGGGGATAAATCTAGCATATACTTTCTCTTGTATTACCAAAGAATAGAAATTACCTCTTGGTAGCTTCCTAATTGTATGATAGTTGGATCTGCATTGACTAAAGCTTTCTCACTTAACTTAATAGCATTGTGAAAGTTCTTCAAATGGTCATACTTGGGTTGTCTAGTTAAACCTATTCCATAAATGGAAAAAAACATCAGTTAAAAATCAAAACAAGTGTTTCAAGAGATGGATTTAGACTATATTCTTACCATATTCATCTATAGGAGCATCATAGTCGTAGCTAGTAGTAAGAAAAGGACCTCCTGCTGTTCTTCCAAAATTGGTTCCTCCATGATACTTTCAAAAGAAAAGAAAACCAAACCAGATGTGCTGGCATTTCAGTAATAACATTCTGTTACGATTTTATGGCGTGTTTGGGTGCCCTAAATAACTTCGAAAGAATGTGACTGACCATGTAATAATTCACAAAGGAGCCACCTTTTTGGATGAACCGGGCAACTGCAAAGGCCAGATCTTCAACAGGTCTATGGTGAATTGCACTTCCAAACTCTTCAAACCTTGTGAAGCATAAATTTAAGGAGAAAAATACTTGGCATATATCTGTATTAAAGATATCACAATTATGATTTTTCACTGATTAAAAATTACCAGCCACTCCATGCCTCTGTCCACAGCTTGGGTTTGTAAGCCTTGTTAGGAGAAAAATAATCGCAATAAAAACCGTTACAAGAATTTATCTGTTGTCAAATGTGAAAAACAAGAAATAGGTTTTTGTTAGATCATTTAAATGGAATCACTACAAAAAAAACACTGTTTGCTAAAACAAATATTTTTCCCTTTTTGGGATAAGCTTCCACTTGGTTAAAAAAACACATAACGAGAGCAGCTAGTTACCTTGTTATGATACTAAACACACTCCCCATTATAACTAGGATGGTTTAAGGCAATAGATTATTATTATCCCTGAAATTGAGAGACTAACTAATACTACGTGAGCAATAGTATAAACTATAAAGCACAGCTTACCACTGGATCTGGTGCATCATCTTCCTTGCACATCACCCACGGGACTCCAGTTTTAAGACCAACCGCCATATTTGCAGCCCAAGTCATGTATTCATGCCCGCCTGCCCCATAAGCCTTGCTTGCTAACCCATACTCATTCTCAATCTGCATCAATTTTACTAACAAAATTATACCAATCTAACCAAACAGTACCCACTATTTAACTTCCCAGAATTATTTAAGAATTCATTTTTTTATTAATCCTTTTAAAAATTCCATGTAAATTTAAGGTAGCAACAAAGTTAGCTTCACATGAGTAAAGATGGAAACTTTACCTGTGAGAGAATGATGGGGCCACCCTGTGACTGAAAAAGGTTTTCATCCTTCATCATTTGGACAATTTTCTGGACAAACCTTTGCATAGCCATCTGAATGAAAAGGTTGACTTTTTAGCATATACTCCATAAGTTTTAGTGCAAAAAAGAAACACACACACACACAAACATTGAGAGAGAGAGAGAGACCTTGAAAGGTTCACTATTGGATCTGAAAGTGGAGCCAGGAACAAATTTCAGCCAAACAGGGATCCCCCTGAAATAGAAAGATTTAATTAAGCACAGAAAATGGAAATATTGGGAGAAAACCTTGAAATAAAATCTAAATAACTGAAAAGTTAATTGAGAAATCACCCAAACTTCCACTCTCCACAAATATAAGGACCAATGCGGAGATGCACATACATCCCTGCTTGATGTATTAGCTTTATGAATCGAACTAAATCATTTCTTCCCTCGAAATCATACTGAAACAATAACAGGAGAATTTCACACACACACACAAACATAAAAAATTAAGCACAACAACAGCATGCAAGAAAAATCAGAAAAGAAACAGAAAAAACATAGCAGCAGTACATTGCCAGGTGAAGGTTCATGATTGTTCCAGAACACATAGGTATCAATAGCATCCAAGCCTCCATCTTTAGCTTTCTGTATGAGGCCCTCCCACATCTGCAGTATTCACATTACATATTTTTAAGGACATATATTCCCTCCAATAGCCTTACTTCACCAAAATTTCTTTGGGGGGAAAGAGATAAAGTTGTGACCTTTAATTAATACCTCAGGTGTGCTTCTTGGGTAATGAATGGACCCAGAAAGAAGAATTCTTCTCTGGCCATTGATGATGAGAGATTTATTGTCATAAGTGACGCTGCAATGAATGCTCTGAACGGTGGCAAGAACCAACACTAAGCCCAGCAAAACCCAATTTTGAGGTTTCATTTTATCTGCTTTTTTGGGAGAAAAAGAAAGAGTAGAGTCTCAAACGGTCATTTCAGGTAACTACTGACAGAATGTTTTGGGTATTCAATATGGGAATTTAAAGCTGCTTCCAACAGGCACAAATCTCATCCTGCCCGTCACTCTCACAAAAAAAACTGTTTTGCTCATTCAAGGAACCGTCTTTATATATAGAGGGGATGGGGAGAAAGAGGGTATTTTAAGCATGATCAGAGAGAAGTAATCACAATCTTGTTCTAGTCATCTACTCTAATGGCGTTTTGATAGTGCTTTTCGTTTTGCGCAGTTTTGATGATACCCAGGTTTCCTCTAACTACGCCTATTACCTAGCTTTGATTTTTACCGGCAGTAAAAGAAAGTGAATTTCAAATTTGGGTCTTGTTTAGCAGTGTGCCAGTGTACTACTAGTCCATACGGTGTTTGCGGAGTAATTTGACTTGAATATTACGGAGTACTAGTACATGAAAGCATTACTTAGGAGTTAGATTCCTAAAGACAATAGATTTATTCACTTTTGTAATTTGAACTGTCTTCTTGACGGACCAATACTATTTTTTATTTTCACTAGACTTTCTAGTTTATAGTATCTGTTTAATACTTCATTGTTAATATCAATATCTTTGACTGAAATGAGTTTCCAACATGTGACATCTTCTTTAGAAATATCACAGTGATATCATCGAACCACAAGGTGTTTGGCACGCACCAAAACCATTTTGTGATGTATATTTACAACAACCAAAAATCAAAATACAAGAGTGCCCTAAACAATCAAGGTATTACACATTTGACCAATTGTTTCAAAGTAAAAGTGTTTTTTTTAAAGTTCAAAGTAAAAGTTTTAAGAGCCGAAAAAGATAAATTCGATTATTCGAAAATTGCTTCTGTAGACGTTCATTAGTACGAGTGTATAGTACGATCAAGGACGACAAACATTAGACATGCAGTGATACGGTTGATACCTTATACTCCGTAAGTCCGTAGTAGTATATAAACTTTAAACATGTGTATTTATTACTCTTTCCGTCTCTTATAATTTTTTATCTTTATTTTTTAGGTGTTTCAAAAATTTTCCAATTTTTCTTTTTAATCAATTAATTTTTATTATTTCTCATTTCTTTACACAAACTTCAAGCATACATTATGATGAATGCATGAATTCCCAATAGGAGGGGTGGTAGTGTAAAAAATGCAGACTAATACATACTCCGTACTATCTTCGTCTCATTTTATGTGTCCTAGTTTGACTTGACACAATTATTAATAAAATGGTTGGAAAAGTAAAAGTTGTGATTGAGATTTAAATATAATAAAGTGAAATGGTGTTGACCACATATTTCTTTCCAAAAAGAAAAATGACGACATTTATTTTGGGATAACTCAAAAACAAAAGTAAGACATGTAAAATGGGATGAAGGGGGTATATAATAAAAAATAGGAGTATTTATATCAAATAGAAAAAAATTGGGGGGCCACTTACCCCCTTTGCGTCACTGACCATATAATTGTTACTTTATTATTTTTTGTGTCAACCAAATTTGACAAAGTTTTGAAAGACGGAGTGAGTATATATTACGGAGTATTTCACTTCTTCTTTTTAGTTACAATAATTTGACTTTCACATTTATCGAGACACAATTTTGACAAGTCTTATTTCTTATCATTGTCCATTTTGCTACACAAAAATGGTCACCTTTTGCAAATTTCAACAATGAGAGACACCGGCTTATTAAGAAAAGAGAAAACTGTCTAATAGGTCCTCAAACTTTCATAAAAAGGTCAAATATGTCTTTATATAGGAGACTCTGTCCGGCCGTCGTGATTTGGAGCGGTTCCCGGTGGATTTTTTTGATGAAATTTTTTTAGCATCTTATTCATCAAGTCTAGTTTACTCATACCAAATGTCATCTAAAATTTCAATCGGGAACGCATTCAAATTAATTCTTGAAGATAATTTTGCAGTTAAATGCGCAGTTATCTTCAAGAATTAATTTGAATGTGTACCACGGTTGAATTTTTAGCTAAAATTTGGTATAAGTAAACTAGACTTGATGAATAAGATGCTCAAAAAAATTCTTCAAAAAATTCCACCGGGAACTGCATCCGAGACATTTTTCCATTCGAGGCATTATTTTACGAATAGGAAATCAGGATGCAAATGAAACTGCGTGCATTTTTTAAATATGCTGCGTATAAAGTATAAACTACTCCGTATAATACTCCGTATATTTAGAACACGTAACAAAGCTGGTTTATTATTTTATTTATTTATTTATATAAAAAAAGTAATAATAGTGACGACCATTGCGTACGTGAACCATCTTGGAAGCAAACTAACCGAAGGCACTGCCGACTTGCCGCCGCAATAATGATTTGTTTATACGCGTGAAAAATGATCATAGTTGACAATTTTTTTGGCACAATCAGAATAATTATAAGCTTTGATTCTCTGATTGGCCAATTACAGGTTGCCAATTTTTGACAGAAATTTCCCTAAGTCATAATTCTCTGATTTGCCAATTAATTTACATTTTACTACCACCAAAATACAATGTTATAGTGATACAACTGATTTACTTCCTCCGTTCTTTTTTTAGTTGCAACGGTCAATATTTCACACTTGCCAACGCACATCTTTGACCGTAATTATATCTGAATCTCTACTAGTTAAAAGTAATTAAAAATCAGATTTTGAGAATTTGTAATGAGATGAATTGAACAATATCTTTTTAAAAAAATAATTTTCATAAAATAATACCGTAAAATGTAGTCAAAGTAGAACACGTGAATAGTGTAAAATTCAACATGTACATGTTGCGATTAAAAAGAAACGGAGGATAATATTTAGTAATAAAAATCATTGGGGCAGTCGATTATATATATTTAGGGCAAGTTAAAATATTTAATGGGGGCAAGTTCTTTTTATTATACATTTACTTATGGGAAAATGGATTTGGTCATTTGGATGTCGATAATAATACTACGTACTCCGTATTAATTAGCTTAATATAACCAAACCGGACAACACAATAAACCACTCAGATCACAAATAAATAAATCTGCATGCAAATAGTGAATTGAAGTGTGTATTAATTTGGGCTTACCTCATATATATATCCAAAATACCAAACGAGCTAGTTTGAGTTGTAGATATGAACGAACGCCCTCAATATTCCAACTAAATATATTAAATTATATATATAAATTGTCAAACTAGCTATATATTAGATATATAAATTAATCCAGCCTTGCTTGCGATATTGAGAGAAGATGACCGACCGGATTGGATAAACAACACGTCGCTATATATACTATCTTGATCGGATAACGCTTCTACGTATGAACTTATTATGATATAATCTTATAATCTTATATATATAGTTGTGTGATATAAATATATACGGAGTATAAAAATGAAATAATTCTAGCTTGCTTGTCTTATTACACGTAGCTCATTATATACACACACATATGCACTTTCTAACGTAAGTCTACGAAAAGGAAAGCGTATAATAAGTGATTAATTGGAAGCATAATAATCATGGGCTCAAGGAAGTGAGTAAATGAATATAAGTTTATAACCAAAAATATCTGTACACTATCAAGAAAAGATATGCATGCCAGATAGAGGCTGGTGTATACTATTGTACCGAGACCTTTTTTATTAAGACATGCTTTAGGCTAACTAAAACCTTCTTTAAGTCTAGCTACCAACATATAGAACTCATGTGATCTGGTATGGTCTTAATTTGAATTGGTCTGGTCCGATGTGTATTATACAATTTTCGAAGTCTAGTCTAGTATGATCTGGATATCCGTCTAATCTCGTCTGATTTGGTCTAGCCTGGTCTGGAACTGAAACCAATCCAATTAAAAAATAAAACATCCTTAGTAATCAAGACTGCTTGCGTACGTGGTTCGCTTTGTGTCGAGTAAAAAAATCTCACCGTGTCCCACTCATAATGTAAGATACTCGTGAATTTGACACGAATTTAACAAAATAAAAGATAAAATGAATATTTTACCAGTTAAAATTATCAGAAAAAGAAAGATGTCCTTAAAAAGTAATGGGTCATAATTGTCATTTTTGTCACATCATTATAAGAAACAACCCTATATATAATTTCTATGTGGTACATGATTTTTTCATTTTAGTTCTCTTTTAATATATGAGGGAATGTCAATTTTAGTATACTAGCGCATCATTCACAATGATAAATATCATAACTCTTTCCTCAAAATAAATAAATATCATAACTCATTTTCCATCACGAATTAGTGAATAATGTACCTCAAGGTTCAACTACTATTCTTCTAATTATCCGATCAATATAACAATATATTTCATAATTAATTCAATCTATTCTTTTTTTAATCCCACCAACCCAGCGCAAAGGAATGAGCCTTGTCGAGTTGTCGATCATGTTGGTGATGCCATAATCACATGCATAATGTAATACGTAATACAATTAGGTGACAACTCCGGTACCCATTTAAAAAATATAGTATCGTACCTACCACTCACATGATTGGTCCAAATCATTAAATTATTTTTAATTTAGATTTAAATAATTCAACTGCAACATTTTGATTAGATCAAGTGGACAAAGGTATGGTACCTTTTAGGTACCATATAATCTACCTTAAGTCAATTGTGTTAAGTGTTGGGTTTAATGTGGACCAATCAAGTTAATTATTTAATAATCAAATAATATGATTATTATTACTACAATATTATAGCACTATGAAGCGGTAAAGGCGTTGTTTATGAATGCAGAATTTGTAAACGATGAATGGGCCGAGGTACTTTGAATAGACTTATCAATTTGACTAGATTGTTACAACATTGACCATAAAAATCAAAGATAACTAATTAAAAAAAGGATCGAGTATTAGGTTTCACACTACTGGAAAATGGATAACTAATTGTGGACACGCATTGACGGGGATGCCAAGATTATGTAAGGAATAATTGTATTTAGACTAGAATTTTCACCCGTGCGTTGCACGGGCTGCAATTCGTAGGCATTAAATTATTTCAAAAGATATGTGAGTTTCATCAATATAAGATTAAGGTCATTAGACTTCAAAAAAATCTTCTCTTTGACCAATGATTCAATCCCGTATAATTTCTTCACTCAAGTAAGATAAGTACATTCATGAAATTTGGAATAAGATTATGTAAGAGTTGTTACCATTTATTTGGAATAGTTTAGATTTTTTACCATTTATTTGGAATAGTTTAGTATTTTACCAGTGTACTGCACAATGTAATATGCAAATATTATACTATCGTAAATGTTTATAATTAAAGTATATATAGACA